ATCTTTCTCCATTACCTCTATAATAGAGATAACAGAAATCATACATCAAAACAGTTATAAGTTTATACAGTGAAATCTTACTAAACCACATTACCTCTGTAATAGAGAAAATATATCATTATAATCAAAAATACCTATTGCATCAGATGTATGAATCTCTTTTCATCTTCATGCAAAATAAAAAGTCTTTGTTTTTCCGCTTGGGCTGCATCAATGGCTTTTGACGTTCTGTCAATTTTCATAAAACAGGGGGAATCGGAAGAAAGTAGTGAGCTGAATGTTTGGTATAATGGACCTAATTCTGACCCATATGAAATATTTCTTAAAACTATTATTATTATTATGTCTCAACTACATCTTTCTTGTTTGAAGTTATCAAAATGAGGCTGTTTGAGAGAAACATATCTTATCCTTCTGACAATAAGATTAGAAACAAATGATATCACCTACCCTGTAAACCCTCTAGCCTGGCTTCTCTATGAATCACAATACCACAAGTTTCGTATGGACCATAATGTATCAAAACCTTGGCATTGGTTGGCATCTTGTTAGGCATAAAGTTGAAAACTGTAAAATTAATCAGGTAAATGATTCATGAACATGAAGGCAGAACATTACAAAACTGACAAAAATGAGATGATCACAAATTCTGTGATTTTTGCGTGTGATATAAAATTAAACAGCGACAAAATTATCAATTGAAAATATTGAAAATATACCTTAAAAACAATCGAATAATTGAAATAATGTTGATTGAGCTTTTTTGTTATTGTTTATGGTCTACTTTCGTTTTCTTTTGAGTAGCCAGGGACGCTTATCAGCTTCGCATCTGTAGTATTTCCGGTTAATTTTCAAAGCCTCGTAAAAAATAAATCAAGATGAAATATGTAAATTATTGCTGTATACGAAACTTTATGAATGTATTCAACAATTTTATTTTCTTAATATTTTTTATTTACCAAAAGTCTTTATTTTTTTTCGATTGACCTTGACCGAAACTTCAATATGGCCGCGCGCATAACAATGCAAAATTTATTTCGACGGCGCTTTCACAAAGATTTTGGAAGGTACTGATGTAATATTTACATTATTTCTCGTTTTGATTTCTTTTCAAAAATGGTATGGTTTTAATTGATCTCATTTTCCGACTGAAACTTATATTATAAAGATCAACATCTCTCTTATATTTCACTTACGCAACTTTTGGAGCTCTACTTTCGTTTTGTTTACATTTAGATCTAATTATTTTGAATTATATTTCAGATTTCTCACCCCATCTCTGACAGTTCAGACGATAAGAACTCAATGTATCCACACCCTCAACAGACACCAACACGGAAAATGTCTTGTTTTAAAACCACAAATAATACGAAATCCAGGTTGGTAGGCAATGCCAATGAAATTGCGAAGTGTTGCAGATCTGTCAGTGATATGACTTAGAGCATTTCTTATTCTGATCTTGGGTTTGCATAAGTCATGTTCTGCAAAGTATTGAATTCAAAGAATAAGTTCAAAGTTTCCTTTGTAACAAATTTCTATTACTGGTAACTGTACATTTCTATGTGCAAAAATATCTATTGACTTAAAAAGTGGAAAACAGTACCTTTTCTCTGAATAGTTAAGTATCTGGGAGATCGAGATGTCTAGTTATGATCTAAACGATTGATTAAATGATCAAAATTTCTTGAGATGAGATGAGCTCTGGTCTGGTAGACTCTCTAAAGATAAGAATTTAATTTTAAATTATTAAATGACAATGTCACTACAACTCATTCTTACAGCAACTCTTCGTGATTTAATGCCATATGATTTTGTTTTCCAGTTCGCTGTATGTTTTTATACAGACCTTCGATACCCCGAATCATATGATTTTGTTTTCCAGTTCGCTGTATGTTTATACAGACATTCGATACCCCGAATCATATGATTTTGTTTTCCAGTACGCTGTATGTTTATACAGACCTTCGATACCCCGAATCATATGATTTTGTTTTCCAGTTCGCTGTATGTTTATACAGACATTCGATACCCCGAATCATATGATTTTGTTTTCCAGTTCGTTGTATGTTTATACAGACCTTCGATACCCCGAATCATATGATTTTGTTTTCCAGTTCGCTGTATGTTTATACAGACCTTCGATACCCCGAATCATATGATTTTGTTTTCCAGTTCGCTGTATGTTTATACAGACCTTCGATACCCCGAATCATATGATTTTGTTTTCCAGTTCGCTGTATGTTTATACAGACATTCGATACCCCGAATCATATGATTTTGTTTTCCAGTTCGCTGTATGTTTATACAGACATTCGATACCCCGAATCCTAACAGTTTAAAATATGTACCTGGAGTTAAAGTTTTAGAATCTGGAACAATCGATTTCCCTAATGTTAGATCTGCTGCTTCTTCTCCTCTTGCTAAGTAAGTATTAATCATTAATTATTATATATTTATACCTGTATCTTCTCTTAAGCACTCTGAAACTAATAAATTTCTACTGTGTTTCGCTTAAGCAGGTAAAAATCATGTTCGGGCCGAGATGATTAATATTTATGTCACGATTTTCAAACCAGCCAATCAACACGCTTGCTCAAACACAGATTGGTTCACGTCGGTTTTAAGAGTTGAAATGTATCTATTAATTGATATACTATATTTATATTTTCTAGACAGTTATTCCGTATAGATGGGGTGAAAGGTGTTTTCTTCGGTTCTGATTTTATCACTATTACTAAGGTTTGAAAATATTTTATCCTTCATCCAATAGCCTGTCACATATATTCGAAATATGTATGAAATCTTCAAATTGACATGTTACTTTGATTGAACTCTGTGTAAGGTTAACCAGTGACAGCATACTAGGGGTTATGTAGGTATCTTCATGCCCAGTCTTTAACTTGACTTTCCAATCTCATGCTTGGATCATTCCTACCTTAATTAATTACCAATAACTATTGATTATTATATTCAGTATTTACCTATATCTATTGATTATTGAATATTACAGTCAGATGATGAAGTAGAATGGAGCGTAATGAATCCCGAGATATATGCCACCATCATGGATTTCTTTGCTAGTGGTTTACCTGTTTTAACAGATGAACAGCCTTCTAATGATACAGGTAATATTGGTGTTTAGTTTTCATTTTAAATCTTGAACTGAATAGAGTTATTGAAGGTAAACAAAAATAAAACCATACTGTGTCTTGGCACTACAATCCATGAAATCTTAGACAGTATTTTATATTCATCATGAATAATGTCCAAAAATACAATATATTTAATATTTCAGAAATTCACCCTGATGATGATGAAACAGTATTAATGATAAAAGAATTATTAGATACTAGAATTCGACCTACAGTACAGGAAGATGGGGGTGATATTGTTTATATGGTTTGTTTCTTTTTAATATTTCTTTCCACCCCTGATAAACCCAACATTTTTCTTAATCAATATTGGATAATTCATAATATTTCTTTAGTTAAACTAATCTGCAGTTAGGTTTTATCTAATAGCAAAGGGGCAATATGAGCCAATATTTTTGTCACCAATCACTTGTTTTACCTCTTTGTAGTCTGTGTAACCTGCATCATTATTGTGTATGATCAATTAGCAATGATACATGTAGAGTATAACTAAGCACTGAGCGTATCAAATTAAGAGACTCATTTTCACATATTTGTAAATAGTGAATCAGATTTGTCAATAGCTGTACCCTCGTCCAATTAAAATTAGTTTGCTAATCATCTCATCTGTTCAATATTAATTACTTCAGGTTTATTTTTTCAGGGTTTTGACAATGGAGTTGTAAAGTTAAAGTTGCAGGGATCATGTACAAGTTGTCCGAGCTCAGTGGTCACGTTAAAATCTGGAGTACAGAACATGTTACAGTTCTATATTCCAGAAGTCGTCTCCGTAGAACAGGTAGGATAGTCCTGCATTTTACTAGAAAATTCCATTTATTTAATTGCGACATTTCTGGCATGTTCGTTATCCCAGTTCTTGTTTGGCTTCATTTTTAAAAGGAGAAGTATATGCTATTCCGTCACTCAACGCCAAATATCCTTGGATCTTAAGGCTCTTCGGGATGTCACCAAACACTTAATTTTAGTAGAATTGCAGGAACCACCGATGTTTAATAGAAAATTGGACTGGTGCAAATTCCCAGATACACATAAAAAAAATTAAGAAACTTCTTTACGATCTTTTTAATTTCAATGTTTATCAATTGATTTATCAGGTAGAAGATGAAGTTGATGAGGCCTCCAAACAACAACTAGAGAAACTAGAGAAAGAACTGAACGATACAGATAAATCTTAGTCTAGGAGAGAAAATAGAGGACATGATGAGATCAATGATGGGATTCGTTTGGACTTATGGACATTTTGTGCTGTAAATCAAATTCCTTCACATATGAATACAAAATAAACATTTGCTACTAATATGTGAACACTCTGAAAGATATGATTTTCTATTTTCTAAATATAACCAAGTTGAAATTCGAGAAGAGATGATGTAACATATTTTGGGGACTTTATAATTTTTTTGTTAGGACAACCGGTACCTCTCCATTCATTATGTTGCTGCGATTGAGAACTCATCATTTGAAACGGGTTGAGATTTATGTGAGAAATGTATTTGTTGTTTGTATATATGTCTGTTTTAAAAATATTTATAAATCTATAATGAGTGTTGGTGATTGATAATGTACCAAATAAACAATTTTAGTTATGTAGACTCAACCAATGGGATGCAATATTGTTTTGTCTTTGTTTTGTGAAATTTCTAAATGTATGAATCGCTATACTATAAGTTATATTTAGACCTGAAAGACCAATATGGTGTCAGGCTTTTTATCAAATGTTGCTGATGAAATATTCTGATTGCACTCCAGTGTTTCCCAAGTTCCACTCCAAACAGAAATCGTGGACTTTATCTACACAACAAACTATAAATATGTTTGATAATTGGTACAATCCCCCAACTCTGAAAAAGGATCTGTCTTCATTTATAAGCTAAATCAGGTGCTGAAAGGTAGGAAGTAAAACTCCCTTCCATTTGATATAATTGTGAATAAGAATAGCAGTCATAAGTTTCAACCACAACTATCATATAACTGAATTGTTAGTTGTGTTCATGGTCACTTTCATTATTCACAACTGGTAATCACTATGATGTGAGAGCACAACAATTACAAATATACAAGTCAAGACTTATATTCAGTTTATTTTTGGATCATGCCAATTTTACATAAATATCTCTTGACCGACAAAACTAATTAGTGAATAATAAACTATAACAACTAAGACCTTTTAAGATTAACAATTATTAACATTCCAAATAAGTTTGAAAAAAAAGACGCTAAATTAATTTCTTTAATATTATTTTCAAGCTCCTCCCTCTGATGGTTGCTGACTTTTTCATCTCAAGATTTAAGAGACACACTTCAAAAAAAATTGTCACAAATTCGAAATAGACAGGTAACAAAAAAGGTTTTTTTGATAAATATTCTATTCAGTTTCTTCACAGTTTCAACATGGTGTAGAATTCAAGATCTTATTTTGAAGTTGATATCTGAAAAATATAATTGGTAGATATAAGTTTGTAGTTTTTCAGAAAATGAATTAATGTTTTTAGTCCTAAAGTTCTTTTCCTTTATCTAGATCTTTTTGATTTTGTACAAAGACACTGTAAATGAATCAATCTTTGCTGAACTGAAGAAGGTTATGCCCTCAGTCTCTATTTTTGGAGTGAATTCTGAAATAAACAGTAGTTTTAGTAAGAGATTATTACATTAGTCTTCATCATCAAAATAGAATATATCGTGTTCTTCCAGCACAGCTGCAAACTTTTTGCTTATGTAGGCACCCACAAAACCGAAAATAACGCAATTCGCCAAAAGTACGGTGAAATTATAATAAGATACAGGTTCCGGTTTGGGACAATATCCACCAGTTTCAGTGTGAACAGTAACCGTATTACGATGTTGAACCGCTGGTTTTACTGCTTTCACTTTCGGTGGCATTAAAATTTGCCTCTTTACAGCATTTAGACTAAAGGCGGTAAATCTGGCAGCCATGTTGTTTTTTAACGTCACTATGCTCGAAACGAAACAATGCGACGATTCCTCCAAGAAAAAGAGAAAAGATCGTCATGACATCATCATCTTCCTTTGAAGCTAGTTTTTGCCAAATTTGTTTTTATAAACTTGTCACGACTCGCCTGGGTCAATAGAAAATATTCTAATAGAAATTGATTCTAATTTTTCGCGACGAGATATTTCGCTAGAATATCTTATCCAATGAGTTCTTATCCAATCAGATGCGAGAACTTTACTTAACAACGCCGACGTCATACTGCCGTTATGCGGAAAGAGACGAGAGTAATGGTGGACCAATGTTCTCATTTGAAAATGAATTTAATCTTTTTTTTTTGTCTATTCATTTTTTTCTTAAATCAATTTTGTTATTTATTTTGTTGATTTTTTTTGTTAAATTTTTTTTTCTAAGTTTTCTTTTTTTTTTAATTAATTTTTATTTCATTTATTTTTTGTCTATTTTTTTTTATTCAATTTTTTCATCGTAATATTTTTTTAATTTTCAGAAAAAAAAAAAAAATTAAAAACCACTGTGGCCCTTCGTTCTCATTCTCATAGCAAAATATCAAGTCCCTGTGATGGAAAGATGTTTGGATTAATACAGTAATTCGATCGACCTAAATGATATTGGTGAATGTCACCGAAGAGCCCTCTCAATGTCCTGATTACATGTGAAGCTTAATAATGGTACCATGCATGTTCGACATTGTCCGGCCGTTCACAATTACTCGTAAACACTCTAGAAGGCACAATTCTTGACTGATTTCGACGAAACTTGGAATGATTGTGTGTAATCACCCATGGATGAACCCTATTAATCAGAAAAATCGAAAAACATTAAGTGTGAGTTATTGCCCTTGTTCTTAAAACGCGTTCAATTTTTAGTCCGCAAACACTCTGTATATATGTCTGTTTTAATAATATTTATAAATTTATAATGTGTTTAGGTGATAAATAATATATTAAATAAAAAATTTTAGTTATGTGAATTCTCCAAAAGGGATGCAGAGTGCCTATCTATATACTAATATAAATGTATATGTGGACTCTCTGAAATCTAATCTTATCAACTATTCTCAAAGTAGACAAATTATTTTGCCAGTCTTCTTTTTCTAATTCTCTAGAGATGTATAAATCTCTATACATGTACTTTGATATTATTTTGAGACCAATTCGATTGCACCGATGTTGCCATTCTAGTTTTTCCGAGAGTCTGGTTTAAACTCCTATCCTGAAATCGTGACAACACAAAAGCTATACTCCCAAAAAGGACAGGTCTGCTCATTCAGTTGTAGAAAAGTAGGAAAACCTTTGTAAAGTGTAAATAATTTATTGAAAGAACAATGTGTAAAACAGACATCTATATATACTCTAAACAAAATAAAGGATAAATAAACCAGGTTTTAGTCAAGCAAAAATATTTAAGCACATCCAATTACAAAAAACAAGCAGACCAGTTGAGTTCAGGTAAAATAAATACTACTTGAAATGATACAAGATAGATTTATACTGTATATTACTTTACTACCTAAATATACTGAACTCTTGTTTCTAGTTTGAATTGGATCCAAATGTGCAAAAAAACATCTTGGCTTGACTGGTATACAATCTGCAATCAGTCTTCAGTGTTTTAAAGCAAGATTGGGTCATGCCTTATAAAATATCATGGTTACAGATTGCAGACATTTTGTAAATGAAAGGTACAGTGGAGTCTAGATATTTATGTAAATCTGGATCCAATTCAAAACAAACACAGTACAGGTAGTTTTTTTGGGGTAAAGTAGACCTCATACCATAGCGATCATCAGTTGTGCTTGGTTGTGGATAAAATTAGCGGTCATAAGTTTCAATCGCAACTCTCATATAACTGAGTTGTTAGATTGTGTTTGGAAGTCATGATCACTTCGATTATTCACAACCAGACACAACTAGTAATCACAACCATACACAACTGGTGATCACTATGATGTGAGGGCACATAATTACAAATATACAAGTCAAGACTTATATTCAGTTCATTGCTTTACTACCTAGTAATACAGTTTATAGGCTTCAAGTTTATTTTTGGATCATGCCAGTTTTACATAAATATCTTTGACACTAAACTAATTAGTGAATAATAAACTATAACAACTAAGACCTTTTAAGATTAACAATTATTAACATTCCAAATAAGTTTGAAAAAAAAAGACGCTAAGTTTATTTCTTTAATATTATCTTCAAGCCCCCTCCCTCTAATGGTTGCAATCAGGCTTCCAAATTTTTTTTTCACAAATTCACCAATAGGAACATTTCAAAATAGACAGGTAACGAAAAAGTTTTTTTGATAAATATTCCATTTTAGTTTCTTCACAATTTCAACATGGTGAAGCATTCAAGATCTAATTTTGAAGTTGATATTTCTTCAGACCTGGAAAATATAAATCATTGGTCAATATTAATTTGTAGGTAGGCTAAAATGCAAAACCCAGCTATACGGATAGTTTTTCTAAAAAAGGAATCAATGTTTTAGGGGTCCTAATAAAGCTCTTTTCCTTTTGCTGCTAATTCCACTACCCACCAGGACAGTGTTACATTCTTTTTCAACATCTTTTATCATGCACCGTGAGTCGTGACAAGGATCATTCAGCCAGTCACGTCGCCAGGAGTGAATTCGTGCTGGGACAGTCAGTAGCTAGAAGGGGGTGGGGGTGTCACACTAACGACGGTGCGTCACTCAGTCTCTCTATTTTTGGAATGAATTCTGAAATAAACAGTAGTTTTAGTAAGAGATTATTACATTAGTCATCATTTTCATCAAAATAGAATATATCGTGTTCGGCCAGCAAGGATGCACACACTTTGCTCAAGTAGCAACCTACAATAGTGAAAAAAAGGAGATTCGCCGAATATCTCGTGAAACTAGAAAAAGTTACAGGTTCCGGTTTGGGACTAAATCCACCATATTCGGTGTAAATAGAAACCATATTACGATGTTGCACCACTGGTTTTACTGCTTTAACTTTCGGTGGCATTATTTGCCTTTTTACAGCATTTAGACTTAAGGCGGAAAATCTGGCAGCCATGTTGTTTTTTAACGTCACTATGCTCTAATTGGTCGAAACGAAATAATGCGACGATTCCTCCAAGAAAAGATCGTCATGACATCATCATCTTCCTTTGAAGCTAGTTTTTGCCAAATTTGTTTTTATAAACTTGCCACAGCTCGCCTGGGTCAATAGAAAATATTCTAATAGAAATTGATTCTAATTTTTCGCGACGAGATATTTCGCTAGAATATCTTATCCAATGAGTTCTTATCCAATCAGATGCGAGAACTTTACTTAACAACGCCGACGTCATACTGCCCTTATGCGGAAAGAGACGAGAGTATGGTGGACCAATGTTCTCATTTGAAAATGAATTTTTTTTTTTTTTTTGTCTATTCATTTTTTTTTTTTAAATTAAAAACCACTGTGGCCCATCGTTCTCATTCTCATAGCAAAATATCAAGTGCCTGTGATGGAAAGATGTTTGGATTACAGTAATTCGACCTAAATGTCCCGATTACATGTGAAGCTTAATAATGGTGCCATGCATATCCGAGATTGTCCGGCCGTTCGTCGGACCGTCCGTCCACAATTACTCGTAAACACTCTAAAAGGCACAATTCTTGACTGATTTCGACGAAACTTGGAATGATTGTGTGTAATCACCCAAGGATGAACCCTATTAATCAGAAAAATCGAAAAATAGTAAGTGTGAGTTATTGCCCTTGTTCTTAAAAAGCGTTCAATTTTTAGTCCGCAAACACTCTAGAAATTCTTGATGGATTTTCGCGAAACTTGATGTGAGTGTTTGTTATTAACTAAGGATGAACCCTATTGAAAAACTGAAGAATTTACTATGAGTTACTGCCCTTGATCTTAAAAAGGCGTTTAAGTTTTAGCCTGTAAACACTCTAGAAGGCCCAATTCTTGACAGATTCTGACGAAACTTATAATATTGTTCAGTATGGCTTCACAAGGTGTATTGTTACTGTACTGCCAAATATTTTTATTTAAAATCAAAGCTGCCATTGGGCTTATATTACCTTGCCTGTCAAGCTGTTTTTTTTTGTTAGAAGAACAGGTACCTTTCCATCCATTATGATCCTACGATTAAGAACTCATCATTTGAACAGGTTGAGATTTATGTGAGAAATGTATTTGTTGTTTGTATATATGTCTGTTTTAATATTTATAAATCTATAATGAGTGTTGGTGATAAATAATATACCAAATAAACAATTTTAGTTATGTGAATTCTCCAAAAGGAATGCAGAGTTGACAATCCTATCTATATACTAAAATAAATATTAGCTATGTGGACTCTCTGAAATCTAATCTTATCAACCATTCTCAAATTAGACAAATTATTTCTCAGAGATGTACAAATCGCTATACATGTACTTTGATATTATTTTGAGACCAATTCGATTGCGCTGGTGTTGTCATTCTACTCAAGTTTTTCCGAGAGTCTGCTTTAAACTCCTATCCTGAAATCGTGACAACACAAAAGCTATACTCCCAAAAAGGACCGGTCTGCTCATTCAGTTGCAAAAAAGTAGGACATTAAACTCCATTCATTTCATATCCAGAAAAGAAAACCTTTGTAAAGTGTAAATAATTTATTGAAAGAACAATGTGTAAAACAGACATCTACATATACTCTAAACAAAATAAAGGATAAATAAACCAGGCTTTAGTCAAGCAAAAATATTTAAGCAGATCCAGATCCAATTGCAAAAAACAAGCAGACCAGTTGAGTTCAGGTAGAATAAATACTACTTGAAATGATACAAGATAGATTTATACTGTATATTACTTTACTACCTAAATATACTGAACTCTTGTTTCTAGTTTGAATTGGACCCAAATGTGCAAAAAAACATCTTGCCTTGACTGGTATACAATCTGCAATCAGTCTTCAGTGTTTTAAAGCAAGATTGGGTCATGCCTTATAAAATATCATGGTTACAGATTGCAGACATTTTGAAAATGAAAGGTACAGTGGAGTCTAGATATTTATGTAAATCTGGATCCAATTCAAAACAAACACAGTACAGGTAGTTCTTTTTGGGCAAAGTAGACCTCACACCGTAGCGATCACCAGTTGTGTTTGATTGTGAATAAAAATAGCAGTCATAAGTTTCAATCACAACTCTCATATAACTGAGTTGTTAGATTGCATTCAGAACTCATGATCACTTTGATTATTCACAACCAACAACTTGTAATCACTATGATGTGAGGGCACATAATTACAAATATACAAGTCAAGACTTATATTCAGTTCATTGCTTTACTACCTAGTAATACAGTTTATAGGCTTCAAGTATATTTTTGGATCATGCCAATTTTACATAAATATCTTTGACCGACTAAACTAATTAGTGAATAATAAACTATAACAACTAAGACCTTTGAAGATTAACAGTTATTAACATTCCAAATAAGTTTTAAAAAAAGACACTAAATTAATTTCTTTAATATTATTTTCAAGCCCCTCCCTTTGATGGTTGCAGACTTTTTCATCTCAAGATTTAAAGAGGAACGCTTCCAATTTTTTTTTTTCACAAATTCACCAATAGGAACATTTCGAAATAGACAGGTAACGAAAAAGTTTTTTTGATAAATATTCCATTTTAGTTTCTTCACAATTTCAACATGGTGAAGCATTCAAGATCTAATTTTGAAGTTGATATTTCTTCAGACCTGGAAAATATAAATCATTGGTCAATATTAATTTGTAGGTAGGCTAAAATGCAAAATCCAGCTATACCGATCTTTTCCTTGTGCTGATAATTTCACTACCCACCAGGACATTCTTTTTCAATATCCACCTTTTATCATTCACTGTGAGTCGTGACAAGGATCACTCAGCCAGCCCCGTCGCCAGGAGTGAATTCGTGCTGGGACAGTAGCTAGAAGGGGGTGGGGGTGTATGGGGCGTCACTCAGTCTCTCTATTTTTGGAATGAATTCTGAATAAACAGTTTAGTTTTAGTAAGAAATTATTACATTAGTCATCATCTTCATCAAAAGAGAATATATCGTGTTCGTCCAGCAAGGATGCACACACTTTGCTCAAGGCGAAACCCACAATAGTGAAAAAAAGGAGATTCGCCGAATATCTCGTGAAACTAGAAAAAGTTACAGGTTCCGGTTTGGGACTAAATCCCCCAGTTTCGGTGTGAACAGTAACCATATTACGATGTTGCACTACTGGTTTGACTGCTTTAACTTTCGTTGGCATTACGATTTGCCTTTTTACAGCATTTAGACATAAAGCGGTAAATCTGGCAGCCATGTTGTTTGTTAACGTCACTATGCTCGGATTGTTCGAAACGAAATAATGCGACGATTCGTCAAGTAAAAGAAAAAAGATCGCCCATCTTCATTTGAAAATAGTATCTTCCAAATTTGTTTTTATAAACTTGCCACAGCTCGCCTAGGTCAATAGGAAATATTCTTATTGAAGTTAATTCTAATTTTTCGCGACGGGATATTTCGCTAGAATATCTTATCCAATGAGTTCTTATCCAATCAGATGCGAGAACTTTACTTAACAACGCCAACGTCATACTGCCGTTAAATTTGGCGGAAAAAGACAAGAGACGACCGATTTTCTGCAGATATTTCACCTTTGTCTCAAGTAGATAAATACATAGTATGACTAACTGAGTGGGGTGAGAGGTGGGTAGTTGAAAGCCAATATTGTGTGACCGATTTTACTGATTACGACGAACAAAGCGGTGGTCGTGGACGTAGGCCTTATCTCGTCAAGGTCAAGGACAAGGACAAAAAAAAAAGACTTAAAGAGATACGGCCTTCTGCTACCTTACTCGAGCTAAGATAATTTGACGAGGCCTTCTTAACATATTGCTACTCTCGACTGAGTGTGACAAAATAAACTTAATATGCCTGCAGTGGCTACAGGGTGCCAGAGGGTTCTTGTGGATGCCTTAGAGCATTGATTGAGATAATTTAGAAAAAAGTGAACAGTTGTGTCGATGTAATTGCATAAAATAGGTCAAATTATAGACCTCTTATTAAGACCATTAGAATCTGCGAGCTTGTTGGTGTATTATTTTCATATAGATGTTAGGTTAGAATCAGCAAGTTTATCATTTCGACAACTCTGTCAACGGTAGCTATCAGAAGCTTAGCAAGAGTCAGCTGGCAGGTAACAGTTAATGATAGCTATCAGAGGCTTAGCAAGAGTCAGTTGGCAGGTAACTGTTAATGATAGCTATCAGAAGCTTAGCAAGAGTCAGTTGGCAGGTAACTGTTAATGATAGCTATCAGAGGCTTAGCAAGAGTCAGTTGTCAGGTAACTGTTAATGATAGCTATCAGAGGCTAGGTAAGAGTCAGTTTCAAGTTACCTAACACCACTGACAACAATATCAATCAGAGGCTAGGTAAGAGACAGCAATTTTCTCTCTTGTTGACAACTGTATATTATAGCGACCAGATGCTAGATAACAGTTGTAGTATACCAAACATTTTGGATTCAATTTGAGTTAGCCAATTGTCAGCTGCCAGACATGCATTTTTATGTTTACTCTTTATTTATATATCTACAATGTATTACCTTTTGATACCTCAACAATAGAATTCACAATAATATATCTGAATTTTGTCTGAAGAAGTATTTGAGGACACAGAATAGTAGATGATTATTTACGAGTGGAGATGGGGAGGTTAGGCTCACTGCCAGAATATTTACTTAGTCTTAGGTGGCTAATGAATCTTTCATATAGAGACATAAAAACTTTATATTGTAATGTATAGATTACAAGTGCAGGAAACACCACAACAAAATTATATCAAGAACAGTTTACACAAATAGACAGTATGTAGCAATTTGAACGGGAGGGCATTGAAAACATTTTCTTTACATTAAACCAAACTAAGTGTAAGTGCGAGTAATGTCATTTTGCAACAGTACTGAGAGCGTGTACGTGTATCGAATGATTTTATGATCATAAACACACTATAAGTATCAATATGATAGCAGAATATTCGGAATCTGTGTAACACACAAGGCAGTGTTGATAATGTTTCCCAAGTTATCTGAACACAGTCTATACTCTATTTCTACTTCTATTTAATATTAGCCTTTTGATATGATTCATATACTCCTAACCAAAATTAGCAACAACATCAAGTGCCTATGTTTGAAAGATTCCAGTTTCCACTTGTACTAATTCCTCTAAGTAATTTTCAGCTTATTTATATTCATGGCTAGAAGATTTACTTTCAAAGCATTCCCATGGTCTCTGATTACTTCATTTAGCAGCAGTTCACAACTATTTCTGACTTCTAATATTGTTGAAAACTTATAAAACTCGAGCAAAACTACACTACTCTTTACTACGATCTATCTAAATCATTATCACAGACATAACAACGTTCATCAGACTGAAAGTGGAAAAACAGTTTGTCTTAAAGGGACAGAAGCGCCATTTTAGGGGGTTGATTTGAAAACTATTACTGATTGGTTTAGCTAAAAGAAATCTGTTTCCGAGACTAAAGTATATTTCGCACATCCTTTTTTCGCGATTTTTTGATCAATCATACTTTAATGGGACAGATTCGCCATCCTTTGACCAATCATATCTTAGTCTCAGAAACAGAAATTTTTAAGCTAATCTTATCAGTAATTGTGTTCACAGCTCACCATCGAAAATTTTAGCCCTCAAATGCATGCTAATGATGACTCGTCATTTCTCGAGGCACTGCCATAATATATAGATAAAACATTTTCGTATATAGAAACAGAAATTCCTAGTTAGAAGTATATTTGTACTTCTGAAGACTATTTACATATATATTCAAGACCCAGAGCAGCCCCCGAAAATGGCCAATCTGTACCTTTAAATAATAAGAGATTATTACTTTAGTCATCGTCATCATCAGGGAAGAATATATCGTGTTCTTCCAGCAAGGATGCGAACTCTCGGCTGATGTATCCACCCAATGTCATACACGGAATGATCAACGCCATTACTTTCAGCACACCCAGACGTGTAATTTCCGGTTTAGGACATATTGCACCAGTCTCAGTAAACACAGTACGTTGTTGCACCATTGGTTTTACTGCTTTCGCCTTCGATGGCAGTAAAATTTGCCTTTTTACAGCATTTATAGATAGAGTAGTTAATCTGGCAGCCATATTGTTTTTTGATGGTTTCTTACAAATTCATAATTGAAATGTTACTATGCGAATTATTTGAAACGAAAGAATGTGACGCTTCTGTCAAAAAACAGAACACGGAAGGAAGATGGTTAAAAAAAAAAAGAAATATGATCCAATGCTAATGGACAACACACACCCCCCCCCCCCCCTCCCCCAGCAAGATTCCTTTAAAATTACGCGGATAACTAATTTGTACTGGTGCGTTCATTTTACTACCGGTATTGGTTTCAGTTAATCGCCAGCTGTCACTCTCTTATTACGGTTTCTTTCTATTTTTCTTTCTTTGATTCAATTATCGATTTTCTTGTGATATTTCAAATGAATTTGCAATGTTTTTTGTTATATATATGTATGAGGAAACGCTACAACTAAGCTTAATGGTTATTAAAGAACTAAATTAGGTACTTAATGGGGGACGGGGTTAGGGGATTTGTGTGGTTTGTTGATTTGTCCCTGGAAATACTAAAGATGCCAAGACACATCTGCATTCAGGTTCATTAGCCGTGGAGTGTCCACATGATTAAAAGTTATTTATTCTTATGTCGTATCAACTGCACATGGTACATTTTATTATAAAAGATTGATTCCAAATTATCTCTTGCACCAAAAAGAAAATTTCGAGAACATTCAAGATTTATCTTAACTCTTAAATAGTAACATTCGTAATACTGCGTCATGTTCAACTGGTATTGTATAAATATAACGGTGACAGATGCAGTCAACGTCATGAGGCTACTGTGGTCGGATTAGACAGGTTCACCGGTACTCAGCATCCCACAATACATTACTTTTAAACATGGCTACCTGCAATCTCTTCGACGAAGATGTTGTCTGCTCAGGTTCGCCTGAAAGTGGATTTGTCTATGGTTTAGTTATAGAAAATTCTGAATTTTTGAGCAGCAGTGAAGATGAGGACGAGGAAGACGAAATGGAAGATGAAAGGGTCAGAAAGGGGTCTGTGAGAGTCGCCTGGCACCCTGACGGCAAGGAAACAGTCGTGGACGAAAATGAGGTGATGGTAGACTATTATTTATTTTTTGAAACGAAACTATGTTTGGTCTAGTCAATAAGTCTATTGATCATATTACCTCAATAGTTTAACAAGTTTCCAGATGTAACAGAATATGATAATGCACATATTTAATTTCGAGTTCTAAAACCTAGGCTACCTGAGGTTTAAAGAAGAAGAGCTGAAGAAGGTGGAATGCAGAATAATCAATGCCAATGCTACTGGAAACCTGCTAGACCTGATGCCAGAATTAGAGAGAAAGCATACTTTCAATTCAATGGTCAAATAAAAACATTTCTTTTTCTTCCTAGCCTGGTCCAGATTGTTGGTCTGGGTAATCATTAGTTTGGCTGGGGATTATCTTGAAAATATCAATGCCAAGCAAGGGGTCTGCCAAATATCAGAGTCCTTGAGAACCCAAGTTGTTATTGTTGGGACTAGTGTTTTTATCAACAGAAAACCTGAAGGAAACCGGCTGATATTTTTCAGGTGATTCTGGTGGACCGATCTTTAATGCCAGGAGACGTGATTCGAAGGTCTGTAAACGGTAAAGACAGTCAACAAGGTTTTGTACAAGATATGGAATTGACTTGTCACATTCGAGTTCTCGGAACAAATAAATATATTTATAATATCAACACCAGAAATTTTATCCCCATGGAGGTATGACCATTTTAGTTTTCTTTAATGGGTACCGATATTTTATTTTTCTTCTTGGGTCGTCTTTCTTGAAGGGATAATGTCATCTAAAAATGAACTTCAGTAAGTTCCAACTACATCTGACCTCTGGTTCACTTACAATTTAAGTAAAATGGTCTGTGATGACCAAGGTATGAGACATCATGATAGGCTGTCAAACCTGTTATAATTTACATAAATGAAATTGTGTATTCTTATCCAAGTGTACAGCAGTTATTGTAGTCTAACTAAATGCCAGATTTTTAATCTGAAAAGTCATCCTGACAACTGACAGGTTTTTCAGTAAAATTGGTTTTTAGCATATTTTCTCTAATAATTAACTTAGAATTTAACCAGAGTGATTTTGGCCTTTTTGGTGTCAGGTTTTATCTTTAAGTATATAAAGTACCAAAATCATTTTTGCCAATATAATTATTTTCTAGGATTTTGACTCTAAGCCAGGGGAAGTAACCTTAGATTCATGGATTGGAAGATTTGAAACTATGAATAGAAAAGTAACAATAAGAATGCCAGATGGTGCCAGGTAATTTGAAGTTTCTTTATCACGCTAATTATAGTATTATTTACGTTATTATGTATATAAGCTTATACCTACAGATAGCTACTGTAACTAAGTAACTAACAGATTTTATTGATCGAACTTTGTTTTGATTTATTTCAGACTGTGGTGTAATGTTATTTAAGTGTGATATTCTAGAATATTCTAATCTATATTTGCTAGAATGTAATTTGAATCTAGGAACTTCTAGAATATTCTAGAAAAGAGATGTTGGTGTTGGGGGAGGAGGGGGAGGGGGGAAGGGATATAGAATGACATATCCTAAGATCTATTCAAGGTTTTAAGCAAGTCCTAAGCTCATTATTACTCAATTACATTCCAATCTATTTATAGATGTAAGATTATGGAAAGTGATATTTATGAATTTGACACAATTGATGACAAAAGATCGAGGGTAAGAAATACACTAAAACTATCAGTTAATAACAAATCAGCAAACAATCAGTCAATGGCACAAACAGACCCTAGAAAATTCCTGGTGGATGAAGGGGGGCTCGCTTGCTATAAGGGGTAGCCCATTGAGTCTAGGGGCTGTCAGGGCTTAACTTTCACTTCAAAATAAGTCCTTACTATATCATGATTTTTGCTTAGGTTTTTACTGCAATCTTCTTCAATATCAGAGAATATATCCTGACTGAACAGATCAACTTATATAGTAATTGTCCAAAATATTTTATGCTAGACTACAAAACACGTCATTAATCCCCTAAAATTTAAAAATTACACCCAGTATTGGAATCTCTTGACTATTATATAATGATAAAGAAACTTTATCGTAATATTTCAGCATTCAGAATATTGGAGCAGTGTTTGTTACCCACAACAGATATTTAAAGGATCACTGGGAGATCTACATGGGGTGGAGTGGTTACATTCTACCATGTTTCATAACCCACGAAATGTAGATCATAAACAACACAGTCCTGTTACCTTTATTGTTGAATCGGTAGGTGTACATTGTATAACAGGCAAGCAACAAGCTGGATTCTGGGGTGATTCTGTGCTAAAGTCAAACAATTCACTTTAGCGCTGGTTAACCTAATAGCATATAAATCTATACAAACAAGACAATTCTGTTAATCAAGATTTCGTCTTAAGTGGCAAAATCGAGAGTAAAAGTTGTATAGTAGTGAACTCTTCCAAAGAGAAGTACCGTAAAGTGTTTCAAAAAGAGTAAGTCAGCTCTGCTTCATAACACAATACCAGTATTAAGTAATGATGGTTGAAAGCCTTCAGGTGGATAAATCCCCTTTCAATTAAATAAAAACAAATGTTATGTTATCTGAATTGTTTATTAAACTTTTTGATCTTCCCAGGTTGAAACAGAGAGTGTAGAAGTCCACTGGTTGGCCCGAGGATTTTCTCAAGTTGAGGATCCACAAGTCAGAGTCGAACCTCCACCTAGATTAGTCCGAGGGGATCAGTTGAAAAGGTTAGTCATGATTTGAGTTAAGTAAAAATTTGAAATTGATGTGACACTATAAATATTTATTATCTCAGTCTTTAAAGCGAGGTTTACCTGTTAAAGTTAAACACGATAGAAATCTGTAGTGATTTCACTTGTTGAAGTGTTAGTCATGGTCTTGTCTCTTTCTTGATGAATGTTTTTGTTGTAAAATTTTCCTCATAGCATACTGCATTGCGTTTACCATACTCATTAGCCAAAACAGATGCAGAAGAGTATAACTTCTCACTACAAGTGGGTTTATCATCTTTTAGAATAGGGACATTCTGAAATAGATCAGTTGTCTGAAGATCTCTACTTATTAAACTTCAGTAGGGACTCCGGCTGAAATAGGTCAGTTGTCTGAAGTTCGCATAGCTTTAAACTCTGTTCTTTCTTCCATAATTCTATTTTTTTCTTGTGTGTTTTTCAGAATGTCTCAAATGGACTGGTTTTATAACTGCAGTGTTCAGATTGGAGATAGAGCATACTATGTAATACAAGATACAGATACAATCGAGACACACCCACCTAAAAAACAGGTTGTTCCAGAAATTATCTCTAAACTTGGTACCAAAACTGAGGGTTTAGTTAAGGTATGAAGTGACTTGTTGGGTTTACATTTACAAACTGTTTCATTATAATTTATTGACAATTCTGTTATCATTATAATTAAAACTTCAAGTTATCAGGCCCCTGTCTTGTTTCTTCAGATTTTTGTTACCCAGTTTTCCCTTGTTAGTGATGCACAGGCCCCCTCTAAGAAAATTTTGGCCTCCCTGAAAGATAACATGTAAAACACCATTCATTTCATATCATTTTATAATTTTTCTAGGTAAAAACTGAGAAGAAGAAGAGTAAAGACAGTAAAGGAGGAGGTGATGGGGTAAATGAGAATGGTAATGATGACAATACTGATGATGATGATTATGATGATGATGATGAATATGAGGATGATGATTCGGACGAATCAGACGCTGGTTCTGTTAATTCGGGATCTTCTCAAGGCTCAGCATCAGGTAGAATTTTAGGGATCATGATTTTCTTCTATAAGGCTGCGTTCAAGCAAGTTAAAGGAATTCCACCTCTGAAAATAAGAATATATATATTCATCAGGTAGACTTACCAGGTGTTATAATTATAGCAAAATCCCTCTATAATCCAATAAAACCAAGTATTATTGAGCAGTTCTAAAAATTAGATATTCTTGAACTAAAAAAAGTTAGCAAAACTCTTTACAGACATGCTAAACTTGTATTTTTTAGTGTGGATAAAAGACCGAGACCGATTAGTCATGTTTTAAATCTATCGACTGAAAAAAGAGCATGATTCTCAATTAATCAATAGATAAAAAGATAAGATGTCTGATTTTAGAATCATTTTGTTCAGGTAAAAAGAAGAAGGGTAGAAAGAAACCGTCTCTACAGTTGAAGATGTTACGTGGTAGGCGAGGAAGGAGGCCTAGAATGAAGTTTAATCTTCCAGAAAGGAAATTAACGGCTGGTGAGAAAGTTCCAGTAGAAATTTGCTACACTGTTTCGAAAGCTAACGTCATGTGGCAGGTAGAATATTCTTTTTCACTATTACCTCTTCAACGTCTTCTTTTACGTTTAGATGGGACAATTAACTAAGGCCCTGTGTGCTACAGGCTGTGCATGTTAAAGATCTCTTGACAGTTGGAAAACAAAAAAAGAAGACTTTTATCATGATCAGTTGTTTTTGATGTCTGCTAAATGATTGGACTAACTAACTTCATATAGCTGATGCTTGTACCTACTATTTACAGGATGGTACAGTAGAAAATAACATGCTATCAGCAGAGTTATACCCCATACATCATCTAGATGAGTTGGAATTCTTCCCTGGTGATTTTATTATTGACGCAAAAGGTAGGTGGAAAAATCAAGTGTTACAATGTTTGCCTTTCTAGTCAATAGAGATTTTATATTTGATTGAGAACCTAACTTGTTATCCTTGTAAAATCATTGCCAAAAGGTTTAACTAGAGAAAATCCTCAAACACCTACATTATTATTAGAATAAAATTACAAGTGTTGTGACTTAAAACCAGCGAATAGACGAGTTTTGATATAGATATATTTATTTTCCAGATACGGAGGGTTTTAATGATTATGGTGTAGTTGTGTCATGTGATCATTCTGCTAGAACATGTTATATACAGTGGTTACGCCCGTATGAAGTTGGCAAATCAAAGCGGTGAGAATCAAAACGACAGTATAAGTTGAATAATTAGTCTTAATGGAAAGTTACTACTAGATATTGCTATGTGCTACAGACTGTACCTCTGTTCCTTTATTGCACACTGCAAAGTATTATTTATATTAGCCTTATTTGTTGTAAAATGGGAATTAATCACCTTACATTAATTCAGTGGGAGTCATCCGTATTATGACTAAGATAAAAACAAAGGAATATTTTGATAGTGTATATGTATAATGAAATGCAAGTTCCAACTAAATAGGCCATCGGCTTTGGGGTGTTTGGTTGGAATCAGCATACTTGTCGGCAGAAATCAGTACTAGAAGTTTTTCTTTCTGGTGTCTCCTTGTGATTTTCTTAACAAAGTACCACTAATGTTCTTAATGTAGTGAATCTAAAATTCATATGACTATGTAGGTGTCTATTGTTATTCTACAGAATTCTTTTATGATGCGATTGGCCTTGTGAATGAAATGAAATGAATGGAGTTTTACGTCCTACTTTTCTGCACCATGTGGTCTAATGAAGATGGGCAACATCATGCAGGGTGCAATGAGGGAAATTTTGCTAGGACAGCGGCATTAGCCTGCTCTTTTTCAATTTCCAACGACTAGACGCTTTTTTCATGTCAGTCCTTCTTACCTGCATCACTGACAGTTAGAAGCTGGGTGTTAGCCTTGTTTAGAGTTGTTTTGAGTATGATATGATCAATGTAAATTAATCTATTTCAGACCGACAGTATTATCTGATGTACATGAAGTCAGTGTTTATGATATAAAAGATCATCCACATTATAAATTCAGACCTGGTTATAGTGCTATTAGAGTGGGAGGTTTCGAGGTATATACTCTAGTTAGAAATATATTGGGGTTTTGAAGGAGTGGCCTAATATGTTAATCAATTATCGTTTATTACTGCGAAAGTCCTTAGATTTAACAACGTTACGATATTCCATTACCTGTTTATTAGTTATGATAAGAAACAACGACCAAGTTCTTACTAATCAGAGTATTTTTCTATTTGTCTCTTGGGTAGTTTAAAAATACAGAAAATTGTGTCGTATTTCTTTTTTTATTTCTATCAAACTATTCTATAATTATGAAAATGTTGAACTGAATATTAGCTTCTCTTGCTATAGTGATGTCATAAAACGCTTAGTTTTAGTGAGTTGTAAGAACTGCAGACATCTTACTGAAAATTAGAATGGTGTAAATTGATGCTATCAGTGTCCCCTGATACACATACAAGGTTTACAATCTCTTTTAATAATATAAATAATATATACAGGATACAGAACAGAAGTTATCAGCTGTTGGTCAAGTGTACAGATTAAACCCTAGTGGGTCCATACAGATAAAATGGGCAGACGGAACTCTCTCCGATTGTTTTCCTCAAGAATTATATCTAGTTAGTGATGAGGTGAGTAGAGCATTGGTTAAGATTATTATCAATGTTTGTCAAGTCTGTAGGTGAGGGTTAAGAAAAAGAGGTCAAACTACGTGGTGAATTTCAGGATTAATTCCTCAACTTTGACACCCATGTTGATACGAGTTGAAGTGTCATCTGCTGGGAGTGAGTGTTTCAGAGATTCTGCCCAGTATCAATCTCTAAATGTTTATTTGCCCCAATGTACTTCTGTTTCTTATAACCAGTTATCATTTGACCCTCTGATAACTACAGAAATATCAAGATCTAGAATTAATGAAAAGATAGAGATGAGCATAAACCACATTTATAGGGTTAGAGTTCACGGTCAATAACGGAACACAGTTCTATGGTATACTCCTTAGTTTATCTTGAATTATACTTCCTCATTTCACCTGATGATGAAAATGTTGAAATGTTGTGTACAATAAAACTAAGGAGTAGTATTATATATTATTGCGTTCTGTTATTTTATATTTATTGTTTTATCCTTGACCTATAGGTTGCCTTTTATATCGTTATTCCATCACTTGTTCTTGTGTTTTTTAGCAATGATCAGGTTTCGTATTTTATGTTGCATTTTATGTGTTTTTAAGCTGAGTGAGTTTGGTGAGAGTGAGACAATGTCGTCCAGTGAGTCCGAGTCTGAAAGCGAAGACGAGTCTTCTGAAGACAATTCTGATGCATCATGGGAAACAGAAACAGAAGAAGAAGTATCACATGATGAAGAAGTGAAAGAGGAGAGGTAGAAATTTTGTTAAATTTTTTATGTTTTTTCGAGACAATACCTTCAGATTGTTTCCCCAGTCAGTGATGCACGTTAGCCCCAGTCAGTGACGCACATTAGCCCCAGTCAGTGATGCAAGTTCGCCCCAATCAGTGAGGTAGGTAGGAGAAGCTGTCGTGGAAAATTCATTTAGTTTTCATACGGGACAACGAACTAATCCTAATCTCAAAACTCTCTGCATTAACACCCCTCAACTTTTATTGAACTCTGCGACATAAATATCCTTTGCACAGTGTTATGTTTGTCCTGGAGAGCTCATTTTCAACACAAGGGATGTTTTTTTTTTCAGTTTTCGCCTCAACATCTCATACGTTTTTATTTCAGTGTGAAAGAAAAAGATGCTGTACCATTTTCGAAAACTTTAATGAAAGATTTGACAGTAAAGATGGTGGAGGCTCATCAGGTTTTGGCTGGTTTGGAGGACAGTTTCCACTCTATCTCATCCGTTGCCTCTCTGGAGATCGCTGATTGTTACTCTGATGTGGTGTCGTTGTATAAAACTTGTAAAAACATTGATAAAATGCTCAAGACAAAATTTTTCGAGGACACCGATCTTCAGATGTGGTTGTCGCAACTTCGCGAAGCTCATAGAAACGAGAAACTGAAGAAAGTCTCGCGTAATATCAATTATAGATACAATTCTTATAACCAGGATTTAATCGAAGCGAAAATGAAAGAAAGCCAGAGCATGGAGTTAGATTTAGATCTTGATTTTTCAACGGCTTCCAATGCAGACGACAGTTTGTTTCAAGATGGTGACCGGACGCCAAATGATGCGGAAAATCCCTTCAGTTTAGATTCAACTACAGACGCACATCTTAAAGGTGCCGCTGCAAAACCTAAGCCAGCAACAAATGAAAGCGGAGCTGCAGCAAATACGAATTTAAACAATTTACAAGGAGTTAAAGAAGCATGGACAGACACGCAATCCATAAAAACTGAAAGTTCTGGAAAGACTGATGTTAATAAAGAAGAGGGTAAGACGCAAAAAGAGTCTGAAAGTGGTGCATCTAATGGCGAGGATATAAAATTCAGGGTGGAAATTATGGGTGGAATAAGTTTCGCATTGAAAGTTCATCGACGAATTAAACACATCATCGCTTTCAAAGTCCAGAAAGAGATCGACAAACGCTGGGGAAAAGGGAAGTATGCAGACGACAAATCAGATTCTGACTCGAAATCGAATTCTACGAAATCCAAATCGAAGAGCAAAGAGACCAAAGATGCATCTCCGGAAGTTGTGAAAGAAACGCGAGACAATAACGATGAGAGTCTGGTAGAGAAAATGTGCCAGCAACATTTACCAGATTTGAAAACTGAAGCAGATGCAGTAAATGGTGACTCAGCAGAATTGAATGAGCAGACAGATTGTGAAGAGTTTGTAAGAAAGAAGTTGAATATCAGTATTAGTATGGATGATAGTCGAATTGCTGTGGATGAACTCGGATCACCCCTCTCAGTTACAGGTAATCTTTTTATTTCTTAGATATTGGTTTAAAAATTTATTGTCCAATCCGAACAACTAGACGCTTTTTCCATCTCAGCCCGTCTGACCTGCATCACTGACAGGAGGAAACCAGGTTAAGAAATTCCAAAAGTATTATCTCTACCTGCGCTGGGATTGAAACCTGGACCTTCAAGTTGCCAAGCAACCGTCTAACTCACTGAGCCACTAGGGCTCCCTAGAGAATAAGATGATCAGTGTGAATTCTTAGTGTATTCACCTACATCATTTCACTTTCTTCTCCTCTTTTACGCTCAAGAATTCCAGAATATTGGGTGCATTTGAAAATACCCTTTCAGTCAAACTTGAATGTGTTTTTGTTTATTCCAGGTTTCCAGTATTATGGTGAAGTACCACTAGGACATCAATTCTATACCAACCAATTTTCTCCCAACGTTCAACGTTCTTTTATGGTTTCTGTTCAAAAAGAGGTTGGTATGATTACATGCTTACTCTTCTAGACACCTGATACCACTTTACATTATAAAAACTTACTCACTTATAATTGATATACTTCTCATGTGAAGTTCATTAGCTGCTACCAATGTTTTGCCAGTATATTGTTTGCATTTCGTGTTTTGTTGTGCAGTTCGGATTGTTAGTGCTTGGTTTATTTATTTAACAGTTTTATGTAGTTATATTCCTTACAATGTTTTGTTTTGACAGTCTACAAGTTGTCTACTGATGGAAGTTCAAATTTTAATTTCCTTATATTGGACAAAAACTTTTGTTGTATATTTTTGTTTTGGCTCACGGATTACAAAATGATTTCTGATTAACCAACTGTATAAAAAAAATTATGAAAATAGAATAATATCAACTGTAATATTCTATAAGAATATTGATAAATGTTATATATAGTTGTTTATGTCTGAAAATTTAAAAAAAAACAGAAAGGAATATTTGAAATATGATTTATTTGTGATTATAGTTGAAATTATTAGAATCTAGTCTACCACCAGGAATTATTGTCAAAGGTTTTGAAGACAGAATGGTGAGTTGATTGATATGATTACTACACTACCTTATTTTAACGATGCATTTTGTAGAGGCTATATGAAAACATACAAATCGAAACAACCCTTCATTTATGTGCATGACAAAATTTCCTGGTGACGTGTTCTCGAAACGATCTTTGAGCTAGAATGTCCTAGGTTCTTATCTTCAAACATTGATTCTAGGACATCCTAACGCTAAGATCGTTTTGAGAATACGTGGCCTGCATTCCGCAGACCATGATGATTTTAATTGATCATAAGTTAAATTAAGTTCAGTACTTTACAGAAAATGCTAATCTCAATACCCAGTAGGAAGTAAAACACTTTTTTTCTTTCAATAACTCTGTAAGATACAGAATTGTTGGACTTAAAACTCGTATATCAAAGAAAGATAATGCATTTGCTTAAAAATATTTTTTTACTGCTCTTGTAGGACCTGTTTTCGGCCATGTTTGTTGGTCCAACCAACACCCCGTATGAAGATGGTTTGTTTGTGTTCGACCTCCAGTTATCTCCTGATTATCCAGTCTCACCACCGTCGCTACACTACATATCTTACTGTACGGAACGTTTAAACCCCAACTTGTACGAGGATGGTAAAGTGTGTATTAGTTTGCTAGGGACCTGGTCTGGAAAGGTGAGTCTGTTTTAACTGTTTCTGCTAAAAGACAACTTCACAGTGTCAAGCTATTACAAATACTATATACCCATACAGTACATGTTTCATGTTGTCTTGAATCCCTAATAGATTCAAACAAACAAATTGAAAACGGAAAATAATGAGTGGAAGCCAGTCTGATTACTAATTGAGAAACTATTTTTAAAGTTTTATTTGTCTGTTCAGTTGTTCAGTATTGACAATATTTGTTTGTTTATTTGTTGACAATATTTGTTTGTTTATTTGTTGACAATATTTGTTTGTTTATTTGTTGACAATATTTGTTTGTTTATTTGTTTGTTTATTTGTTGACAATATTTGTTTGTTAAATTTCAGGGAAATGAATTATGGTGCAGTAAATCTAATCTACTTCAAATCTTCGTCTCAGTTCAGGGTAAGACATCTTCCATTTTTATTGACAGGCTGTAGTATGATGCCTTTTACTTGGTAACATTAAACATCGTCGTGGGTTCTACTTACAGTCAGCATGTGAAAATCTTGTAATCTTGAATGAATCATCTGGGAAAGATCAATGTGAAGGTAGGCAGGATCTTCATGAGCCAAACTTGTTATCCTTATAAAGTAAAATATAGTAGTTATTATCTCTTATTTCATAACAAAACAATAACTTTGAGATTAAAGATCTTGGATCACAATAAAATCTCCGATTTGAGCCTTATTTTAACTTGATATTTCAGGATTAATATTAGTAAAAGAGCCTTATTATAATGAAGCTGGTTACGAGAAACAACGAGGATCTCAGCAGGCGTATGAAAACAGCCGAATGTATAACGAAATGGCAATATTAAAACTGGTACAGGCAATGAGTGCAATGGCTGAACGACCACCAAAAATATTTGAACAGGAAGTGAAAGATCATCTGCTGAATAATGGACCCAGGTGAGTTCACTGAGTTGCTAGGGAAGTGGATAGGTTTCAAGGGTAGTGATTTAGATTGTCATCTTCATTGCATTAGGTTTTCAAATCTCTCATGTGTGAAACTCAAGGCCTACGCTGTCCCTTCAGCCTCAAGGACTAAGTATAACTTTATGAAATATGTGGTCGTTAAAATTAACCAACTGGTATAAAGATGGAAATACAGTTATAATAATACTTTTCAGAAAAAATCTTAAAAGAGTTTTGAAATGAATATTTAAGAAAAAAAAATTCTGTAGCCTTTAGAGATGACATCATTTGATTTTTAATCTGGTCTTTCTGCCAGAAATGATTAATCAATCCAGTGAGATAATGTGATTTTATTTAACAGGATGATTAAACGATTAAGAAGTTGGATCGAAATATCTGGATATTCATTCTCAGTCCCAGCAACCAAAAACACAGGAAGTTCTACAAGTGATATAAAAACCGAAAGTAGACCAAATATAGACAATGTTTCGTCTTCATCTGTTGATTCAAGCTGTGATAAAGACAATAAGGGTGATAACTCTGGTAGCCATGTGAAACTAGAGGGCGCTTCCAAGAACAATAACTCTTCTAGTCCTCAAGACAGCATTACTAAGTCTTTCACAGAGGGCAATCCTTCTACGAAACCTGACTTTCCACTGTTTCCCGTATCCAAGGGTTTCTGCTTGTCGTTAAGAAGCAATTTGCAAAAGTTTGAAGATAATTTGAAAAAATTGCAACAGAAATGAAAATATTATGCAAATTAATTTATTGAATTTGTTAAAAATTGCTGAATTTTAGCCTGATTGTAGTTTAGTTTTGAACCAATGCAATTATCTTCTTTCATAAAAAAAAATCCCAGATTTTTTTTTCGAAAATCTTGCAGCAAGTTTTGTCCCCAAACGTCAATACTTTTGATAAATTTGATGTGATATTTTTTGTGAAATTGGGTGAATTGGGTTTCAAAGATCAGTCTATGTTGAATGGCTTACTGTTATACTTTAATGGCTTATGGTTGGAGTAATTATTTTTTGGAGTGATGGTTTAGAATAGAGTATGTTGAATCTATTAATGATGGCTAAGGCGTAATTACCAGGCCCTGTATTCTCGAAACGATCTTAGAGCTAGGACGTCCTAAAAACAGTGTTAGAAGTTAAGACCCTAGGACGTCCTAGCACTAAGATTGTTTCGAGATACCGGGCCAGAATATTTCTTTTCCTATTCATAATTACAACATTTACTACCATTTTTTTTTCTGCTTTCTTGAAAATATCTTTCCTCTTTTACATGTGAAAAAACAAAACAACCATAAATGAATTTTAAATTTTACAGACCTAAATTTGTTTCAATGTTTCCCTGAAATTTCTTAAAGAGATTGTAAAAAGGTTTTCTAAATATTTTATGCTGATCGGACTACTGATAGCATCAATTTGCATCATTCCAATTTTCAATCAGACGTCTGTGTTTCCTGCAATTCCACTGAGTGATTGATGACCTATTAAATGTGCTTGATCACATGAGGCCCTTCGCGATTACTGACATCATCAAACACTTATTTTAAGTGGAATTGCAGGAAGCACTGATTGAATATTGTATTGGTGCATATTGATGCCATCAGTGTCTTAGATACACATACAAATTTTAGAAAACCTCTTTATAATCTCTTTTAAAGAGAGAAAGTTTGCATGTTTTTTTCTATGTTCAAGTTTACATTCCTTTATATTTCTAATGTTTTTTATAACTTGAAATATAAAGAGTGCATGTTATCTTTAATGCTCAAATTTCATATTATTCTTGTTATAATATTATTAGTAGAGAATGTCGCGATATTTTTTCATAAGCCAGAAAAGACTTCTCTTTAAAATGAATTCCCAGTTTATTCCATACAAAATTTTTTAAAATAATTTTGCTAATTTTCTAAGAAAATCTGAATTTCTTTTACTGGTTCCAGAAACAAAATGGCATCGAAATTCAACTTTTCTTGAAGTAATTGTTTAATTTTCCCATAGAATCTTAGGGTGCAGGACCGAGGGTGGAGAGGGCAGAGGGTGGGGCAGAGGAATGAGGACAGGGAATATAAATATATTAGTAACAAAATATATCTAGATATTAAATATGTTTCAATTAGAAATCCTGATTCTGACTGCAGTTCAAAATGATTTTAATCCCAAAATCTTTAAGAAATGATAAAAAAAAAGGTTCTTTCATTTGTCATTGTTACATCCAGCCCCAATAGAAAATCATAGAAGGAAAAACATAAATAGATAAAAAGTGAAAAATGCTGCTTGGTTGCTGATTAAAGCACAATGATTTAAAAAATAAGAAAATTTAATTTATTTTGGCTTCACTGTGGCATAATATTTACATGTTATAATTTAATAAATTGTTGAAATGTTCAGATTTTTGTTTTTTTATACACTCACATTATAATGTGGACATACACTGAAGTTGTCCCTGTCTGACCGGATGATCTGTCTATCCACGTGGTCAAGATTGGGGTTACAGTATTTAATTTATCCGAGCTCGATGAAATTTGGTATGTTCAGGCGCTATCTAAAAAGAATGCCTAAGGAGGGGGCCAAAAATGAGAGGTGTCTCTAAATCCTTAGATGAATTTTTGAGCACGTAGAGGGCTTAATTTTCACTTCAAAATAAGACCTGAGTGAAAGATAGAAAGAATAATCTAATGTGGCTTCCCTGCCCTGGTTTTCATCATTGCACACTGAATCAATCTCACTGAAGGACATTGCTTGCCTAGAACAAATACATGGAAGTGAGACTTGCAATACGCTCAGTTCATTTTGTTCTTGGAGGAACGCATGCCAATTCAAGTCATAACTAGTTGTAGTCTGAAGTCAAAGTAATTACCTCCCTTTTGACGTTTTCAATGGTGGAAAATCCAAAAGGTCTATCACCATTTTGATAGAAAAATAAAAATCAACATGTGGAGCGAAGACGTCGGCTACGATCAAGAAGTAAGACTATAGATATTCTTTATTTCTTTACTTTTCAAACCTTTCTATCATTCCCACCTGTCTTGCTCAAAATAGTTCGCCAAAATCTATTATTTTCATCCCAATATGAGTCCATAATGTACCGGTTTTGCCCCCCACCTTTGTTGTCAATTATGGTTTCATATGGAGCAGCATAGCAGATGATGTAGTTTCTAATTTTCCTTCGATTTCACTTTACAATTTGAATTTTATGCGACACACATTGAAGGAAGGGAGTAGCCTGAACAGTCACCTTGACCTCAGGAATTCAAACAAGAAATTAATTTTGTTTTATTCATTTCAGTATGAAGCACCATATGGAGCTCCTTATGATCATGAATTACATTCAGGTAAACTTTTTCTATAAAATACTCCTTTCATATAAGGTACTGGTACGGTCTGGTAGAATGCAGGTCATTTACTTTACTGGTACATATAAAATAGACTGTGGTACGGAACACAATGTATATAGTAGAAGTAGAGTAGGGTATTCACATGAAATATGAAGTATAGACTTTCCGAATGCATATATATCTTTGCTCAATTACAAATGTCAGTTGCCATGCTGTATAAGTTTAGTATGTTTTGGTTCAAAGTATCTGTGAAGGCAATGAATTAATGTTTTGTTATTATTATTAATTTCAGGAGATCCCCAGCAAGATTTAGAATATGAGAGACAATACCATTCCTCTTCATTTATCGTACCTGAGGTCATCAAAACGTTTCTTCTTAAATTTCAAGGTCATATCTTAGACCAGAATCTGTATGAGATTCAGGATGCTTATGAAAATGGGTAAGAGTTATTTTCAGATCATAGCCTGAATGTTACAGCATCCACCAGTAAAATTTATATTGAATTCTAGTCATTACTATCAAAGATAGTGTAAGGGTAATACCAAGATAGTGTAATGAAAGATTAAAAATTTCCATGAAAAGCATGGATCTAGTTCACAATAGCTAGAGCTATTTCTATGTGATATTAATTATATAGTTCAGTTAGTATCTGACATCTGATCATCTAATACGTTTAACTACAATCAATGTGAACATTTTTCCTGGTAATGTAGATATTTAAATTTCTAATTGATTTTATTTGTGATATTTCCATCCAGGTTTACTCAGTTAACAGAAAGTTTTTTCAAGACCTCACCCTGGCCAGAAGCTGAAAGTATTGCTCCTATTATTGGAAAAGAAGGTAAATTATATTATTTTAAATCTTATCTTGAGCTTAAATTGTGGTTCATATCTGAAGATAATTCACCTTCTGTCATGTCTAAATTCTCAGTCATATAAAGTGAATGAATATAGGATCCTTATCAAATTGTATGAGATAATACTAAAGGCAGTAAAACAAGGGCTCGAAATGTTCCAAATGTGTTCCAAGTACATGATTAATAGATGGACATTTTGAGCCCTGATTAAAACTAGAATTGTAGGTCACAGTTATCGTCAACTGTCGAATGAAGTTAAAAAGGAATTACATTAGATTTTGAGTTTTTCACATCTAATTTTCAATTTCAGATCCAATTTTTATGATTTTATATCGAGAGCTACATTATCGTCATATTTACGCTCGAGTTCCAGTAAGTCTTTGATCTTCTTTACATATTATTTACTTTATTTGATTATATAGGGTGTGAGGGTGTTTGAAAATTTAAATGGAATGATTATACATTTTAGCAGTTAGATAACTCGGTAGGTATCGAGTTGGATTGTTGTTTGTCAGGTGGTTAGGTACTGTGGGTTTGAATCCCCCACAGGATTAAAGCAGAACTCTGATGCCATGGCCAGTACTTATGAAAGTCATCCAAGTGCCAATCTCCAGCACAATCCACATGTGAAGTTATAGGAACTATCTAGCCAATTAACAACAGTAAAGAAGAAAGAAAACTCCATGTCATTTCTTCACAGAATCTTTCATGCGAAAGTCTTATCATCAAACTCTAGATTGATATTTGATATATTTCAGAGTGGACCCAGTATAGACCAGAGATTTGAGTCTTATTATAATTATTGTAATCTCTTTAATTATATCCTCAGTAAGTTACTTTTAAATTATTTCAGAACTTCTTTTTGTGCTTTGGACTTTTGTGATAATTTCACTTGTAGAGACAATGCTTTCCGAGATTGCTAACTTAACTTGTTTAATCTTTTAGGTTCTGAAGGTCCTGTACCACTAGAACTTCCTAATCAATGGCTGTGGGATATCATAGATGAGTTTATTTATCAGGTAAGATATTTTGTTGGACAGACCAACATGGAAAAATGTCAAGTCATTCAGATGGGACAATAATCCGAGGCCCTGTGTGCTACAGGCTGTGTATGTTAAAGACCCCTCGAGAGTTGAAAATCCAAAAAGAGTTGGCTAATGCCGCTGTCCTGGCATATACTTCCTCATTGCAGACTGCATGGCCTTTTCAGTCTTCATTTGCCCAATTAAGTTCAGAAAAATAGGAGGTTAAACTCCATTCATTTCATTTCATTTCTGATTTTTCTATTGAACTTATCCACACGTTCTTAGTTTCTAGAGGGTCTGAAAGAGGTTAAGATAAGGACCATTTAGTAGAAAACTCAAGTTGCTTCAAAAGATCACTTAAAATCAAATTACATTTATTGGTGAATAATAATACTTTAAATATAATGTTATTGATTTTATTTTCAGTTTCAGTCGTTCAGTATTTATCGATGTAAAGTTGGAAAGAAAAGTGACAGTGAGTTGGATATATTGAGAGCCAATCCAAAGGTAAAACATTTCAATATTTGTAAGAAGTATGTCTAAATTCAAGTTGCACTGAGTCAAGTCTAAAGATCTTAAGGTTTTGCAATATTTGTTTACAAAGCTGTCGATAAAAATAGATTGACCAATGAAACAGTTTTTGGTGATGAAATGAAAATACACATAAAAAGTTAAAGAGACATTGAGTATTGAGGTAGAGTAAGCCTGTCCTGTCTCATAGACAATACCCACCACAGCGCTTCCATTGAAGCTCAATTCTATATAATTTTTGATAAGAACACCCAAGCTTAGATCATTTCAACTGAACTATTGTCCACATTTAGGTGTTTGTATCCTATTGTTGTGTGATCTGTTTCAATGCTAGCAATGGGTCTACCGACTAACCGATACGTTATGTATATATGTTTGTATATTTATGTATATATTTTTTAGATCTGGAATGTCCACAGTGTATTAAACGTTCTTCATTCTCTAGTGGAGAAATCTAATATCAATCGTCAACTAGAGGTTTATACCAGTGGAGGTAGGGGTCTTTTCAAAAGTTTTCATTTCCAAATACTTAGTATACTGCTCACAAACTAAAGGTTCTGGTTCAATCCCGGCAAAGGTCAAGATAATATCTTCGAATTTTTTGAATGAGTTTCTTCTTGTCAGTGATGAGTGGTAGGTGGGAAAAAAAATTGCCATTTGATTTGTCATGGAAATCATTTAAAGTATTGATTTGGTTGATTGTTATATTCCAGGTGACTTTGCCCATCTTTATTCAGATACAGAAAAGTAGGATGTAAAACTCATTTCATTTCATTTTAAAACATTCTCAGCTTTGATTTTGTTGATTGTCTATTCTAGGTGACCCAGATAGTGTAGCTGGTGAGTTCGGACAACATTCACTGTATAAAATGTTAGGTTATTTTAGTTTGATTGGATTATTACGTCTTCATTCCTTATTAGGAGATTATTACCAGGGACTGAAAGTTCTCGAGAATATTGATTTTAATAAACAGGTAACGTTTCCATTTTATATCAGCTTCGATAAATCAAACTGGTAGAGTTAACTTGATATTGATACAATGAACAGACACGTTTACCAATTTCATAATTTTACGTAACATTCTTAAGCTTTGAAAACCATGAAAATGTCTTTTTTAAGGTCAGCAAAATTTTAAAAATGATGTCCAAGGCCAGAGCTCATTAATATTTATATAATTTTGTGTGTGCTGGGCTGGGCTGAAATGAATAAAGTGTCTGATTAATGATGGTCAAGTCTAGAACTTATTGATATTTATATAATTACAGAGTTTATATTCCCGAGTACCAGCATGTCAGATAACCACGTTTTACTATGTAGGGTTCGCCTATATGATGATGAGACGTTATCAAGACGCCATTCGTACCTTCTCTAATATCTTACTCTATATACAGAGAACTAAAAACATGTTTTTATCAAATAAACCTCAAATATACGACCAGGTACGTACTACATATATTATATTTATAGTTGAATTTGATAGGGTGCAAAACATCGCACAGCGTAAAACTCTGTGGCTTCAGTGGCTCAGCGAGTTTCTGCTCGCTAACCTGAAGGTCCAGGGTTCAATCCCAGAATGAGTCGAGATAATACCTTTGATATCTTTCAACCCATTTTCACCCTGAGTGCCAGAAATAAGAAAAGCATCTAGTCGTTCAGATGGGACAATAAATTAGGCCCTGTGTTCTACAGACTCTGCACTTTTAAAGTCCCTCTATTGTTGGATATTGAAAAAGAGGAAACAGTTGTTGCTGTTCCGGTGAAATTTCCCTTATTTTACACTGCATAGTGTTGTACATCCTCATTAGCCCAAACAAAATCAGAATAATAGGATGTAAATTTATTTCTGATTATCTAGATATCTAAAACAAATGATAAGATGTACACTCTGCTATCAATTTGTTTAACTCTACATCCAATGAGAATAGATGAAAGTGTCCATTCTCAACTCCGAGAGAAATGTGCTGATAAAATGTTACGCATGCAGAAAGGGTGGGTAATTTTTTTCACAGTATTATTAAAAAAAAATTGGACTTAATTAACTTCTTTCTTGTATTCATAACTGCACTAGGCAATATATTGATAAAACAAATGTCAAGACCATATTTTTGATTAAGAATGTGGACCAGTTAAATGAAGCTTTATCTAAACCTTAAGTTTACAGATAACTTCTTGAGAAAATATGTTTTATTTCATTATTTTATTTCAGTGATGTAAATGAATTTGAACAGAGTTTTGCGTTTGCTTGTCCTAAATTCTTATCACCAGTTCCACCAAATTATGAGTCTCTTGGTGCCAATTTTCATAAGGTAATCATTTCTTGTATATAATTTAAGAGCTCATCTCATGTTCCACACATCTTGAGGATAATAGTAGTGCTGGGTATCGTCAATCATGCCACGCTACGATATGTATCGCTATACAAGGGTCACAATACAATACTACTTTTAATGGAATAAAATGTATGTCAAGTATCTATACACGGTGTAGTGATACAATACGCGTATATCTTTATATCGTGCCAGCACTAGATAATACTCATCAGAACAGCTACCTTTGGGGGGTTCTGTTTTCAAGGTAGAGGAGTTTTACAGTGAAAGTATGTTGGGGTCCATAACCCAGTGGTGTATTGATCATACCCAAACTAGGTCTACTAGATGTAAAATGACTCTTGATTCTTACTTCACCAATACCTACAATTTCATAAAATACAAACTGGCTGAGTGATGCTTTGTTAGTACTGCGCTTGTCTCATAAATATTCATGTCACTCATAAATATTCATGTCACTCATAAATATTCAGGTCACTCATAAATATTCATGTATATTCACTATTGATATATCGATTTTCAGGAACCATTTGGTTTACAACTGAGAGTATTTTTAGACGAGGTGGCTCAGCAGATTCTGGTACCAACTATTAGAAGTTATCTTAAATTGTACACAACTCTACCTATTTACAAATTAGCTGCTTTTATGGATGTTGTAAGTTTGATGTTTCATTCAGAATTTTTCTGAATCTGATGTGGAGATTTATTACTCCTTGAAAACTATATCAATATATAAAACTTATAACAAACAACTAAGTTTTGGTCAGTTCAAACCTTCAAGAGAGGCGTCGAATTAAGTTATTGAGCATGTGGAACAGGGTTGAAAGTGACTTTTGGAAGCACTTGGTGTGGCATCAGAACTTTTTTAACCTTGAAGATTCGAACCCACAGCACCTAATCACCTTGCAGACAACTAAACAACTTGTTGCCAACTGAACAATCCACTGTCACTTACTCTCTTAACCATGATTTCTTTGATAAGATTAACTTTTCTTTTCTAACTATTTGCATAAAGAATGTTTCATGACTTTTTCTTGTAATTTATAGGATGAAGATACATTGAAAACTCAACTCATGTGTTTTAAGGTAAGGATATTATATTTTTTTGTGTGCAGTGAACGAGTCTTTGATTTGGCTATTTTTGACCTATCTTGTCTGACCTGTGCTCTATCCTTCTAAATGTTTTAAGTATAACTTTTGTATTGTAGTTATGATATAATTTATGAAAATTAATGACAATACAAGAAAGGACCAAAGTCAAATTAATTTACTAAGACATAATAACACTAAGAGAAATTATTGGTTCTATAAATGAAAATTTCAGCATAAAATGAAGAATGTTGTATGGACTAAGGGTACCAGTGGATTGGACGGAGAATTTCAGTCGGCTTCCGAAGTTGATTTCTATATTGATAAAGTAAGTCATCTATCTATTTGAGTTGTTTTTGTTATACCATTAACATTGTAAATCAAAATAAGTCATGTACTGTTTGCAAAAGATATTATCAACTATACAGTTTTTGTTTCTGACAACTTTCATTTATTTAATGTTTTCCTAAACCCAAACTATAAGGTCTGGAATAGTTGGATGTAAAACTCGAAATATGAATATTTTGCAGGACATGATCCATGTAGCTGATACGAAGGTTGCTAGGCGATATGGAGATTTCTTTATTAGACAGATTCATAAATTTGATGAGGTGAGATTATTTTCATGAGTTTTTGATCTACATTGTTTAATAAGTTAGTTGACTAATGCATCATGGGATTTGATTTCGTCCAATCCATTCCAAGATGACAATATCTCAAACCTTTTCCTTCGGTGTTATAGTTTGGTTTTAACATGAACTAATACACAGTGTTTATTTTGTTTTTTTTTCAGATCACCAGAACGATTAAAAATGCAGTGCTGATAAATTATCATAAAAAATGTAGAAAATTTTATTGTAAAATCTTAAATCATGTCAATTAATAACAGAAAAATGCATGTAAAAATAAAAAATCAAACTGTATACTACTAGTTAACACTATGTGTTTTTTCATTTTGAATTTTATTTTATCCAAATGGAAAGGGATTAGTCATGCTTATTGGTCAGTTTTCTTTAGTGCATAAAGCCTAAAACAAAACACAATGAAGATTTGTGTTCTCCTTTTTTGCACCTAATTGGTTAATCAGCAAGCAAAACGTTGCAGTGTGCAAGGAGGGAAATTTTGCCAGAGGCATTGGCATTTTCCAAAGACATAATAAGACTGAGTCTGGTTTATGAGTCCCAACATCCCAAAGACTAACAATCCACAGGGCCATGTTGACGTGAATTGATGGGAATTCAAAATTTTCATGCTTTGAACGATCTCTGCGACTCGCCCGATGTTCTCCCTGCTCCTCGAAGGAAGACTACGATTCGAGAATCGCAAGCCGACTAGTTAAGAGCGAGGCCTCGTCCGTTAGCAAAATAAACCAGACTTTTGCCATTCTTCAGCACTATAGGGTTAGTGGAACATAGGATGGGATCTTAAACATAATTTCGTTTCTAAGACCAGCAAACAACTTAGTAATTTATTACAAAATAGATTCTTTAATAATACAGTTTACACACATGTAGAAACTTTCTTCAGCATGGACTCACGATAAAACTCAAAAACTTTTTTGGAAGCTTCACGGCAAGTTTTCAAGATGGTTTGAAATTGTTCAGTTGATAAAGTACCGTATGTCGAGACGGTTATAACATTGTGGTCTTTACTATCAAATACAAATGTCGCTCCAGCTACACTTTCCTTCTCTTCACGTAACGTAGGATCTAGAGTAATGTCCCCTTGATTTGTAACGCAGCACGTGACAGCACCCATTAAATATTTTAGAGGTATGCTGGCGTCGAGTAAAGCAAGGCAAGCTGAATTAATACAACAAGCTAAAAAGGATCCACAATTCTGCATTTCTTGAAGAATTATTTCAATACATGTTCTGGGATGTAGTCCGGCTAGAATTATCGTTTCACAAGAATTACGAATTATCCGTTCCTTGATTTTGTCTTCACATTTTGGCAGACCAGTTTTGGGCTTATAAACAACGTCGACTGTGGCTTTGTCTATGATTTCTTTTGATATTCTAACATCGCCTGGTCCGTAAACAGCTGATATCACTGTTGTATCTCCTTGTGTTAGCGTGGCCGATCCGTCCGAACGTGATAGATGGCCTAGGTCACAAGAAATTGGACGCAGCTCAACGTTTGGACTATCAACTTCCATTTTCACCTGAAAAATTATAAAAATTGTGACAACGATTGAATGATTTTAGAAAATGATGCCTTTAGATTGAATTTGCTGACCATTTCACAGACAGATAGCTGATATCAGTTCTGTTGATTATCTTTATCAATTAACATTAACCCACAGTGCCACAGACTAAAAAGTAGTTGCAGGTAGTTGAGAGATGTGGTTGTGGGATGCAGCATCTCATTGCCATGGCATTGGGTTTCAAAAGTTCATTAAATTTTCAATGCAAAAAGAAAGGATAATTTTCACTGTTCTGTGTTCACGATGATAAAGGAGCAGTAAAGAATTTGTTTTTATAGCATTGAAGTGAAAGTAACATTTCTGCAGAATTGGGGTCAAGCTGACTGGGTCATGGGGTCAATGACCTACACCCAGACTGTGACGTCACTATCTAACTATACCAGTCACGTGTTTCTGAAGAAAAGTAGATCGACAATCCAGGGAATATTTAAAAATTTCAATTTGAAAGAATTGATAAAAGATACATTGCATCTAAATAAAGACCTACAGAATTATTCTACTCTATGATTGTATTTTTATAATCTGTTAATCTTCCTCTTTCAACTGGAGTCTGTTTCATAACAAGTCAGATAAATCCGCTATCACGCTGTAAACATGTGCTCGGTGTCGTACAAATTACCAATAGTAATTATTTTAATAAACGAACGAATTGAACACAACAATCGCACATTTTAAAGGGGGAGTAGATCTATCGATATTTTAAAGATACTCTTCGGCCGATGTTAAATATTTAATTTTACTATTTCGATCTGTTTAAACGTTGCTTCTAAACACTTTTAAAATATATACTGAATAAACCAGTGTATAGTCACATTTAAAAAAAAGGAATGAAATGAAGATACGTTGTGCCTACAGGCTGCATACGTTCAATATATTTTTTTCTGAATATTCAGAAGTAAATCAATTTTTTTTCTCAGAAAATTTGTCATTTCTTTCATGTAAAATTGCCTGGGGATTAAAATGTGTTTATTTCGTTAATGAATGTTAACATCTGCAGACGCAATTGTGAGCGGATATCACAAAAAATTTAAAACTGCACTTTTAGATATATCTGTCCCTATATATGTGCGCATTTTTTTAAATGGTATCTTTCCTCGTGTTCCCTTCATATGAAAAAAGAAATATTTTGAAAGGCGCTAATGAATTTTAGCACTTGTAGACGTGTTTTTCATGATGTACAATGCGCAGATAGGAGCTCAAAGAGTTCGTATTTTTAAGACGCACTAAAATATTGACGTAAACAAAGGAATGGGCATATATCAGAACTTAAAGTATGGTGACATTGTCTGACCTGTAGACAACATGAAAATAATTAACACCTTGATGAGATTATCACTGATTGGATTAAAAACATCTGGGCAGGGGATTAAAACTTTTGAATGCGGACTGATTTAAAGGCTTTGACGCTTCTGTATTTTTTTTTTACTAATCCCTATCTGAAAAAAGATAATCATTGTCAGAAAGTATTCTGTTAATGGATTTAGGCCTATTATTTTTTAAGTCCTGGTAGACATTACTAGCCTAACAGAACTGATGCTGCCAAAAATTATATTTGTTTTCGGTAAATTTACATGATGCGTAGGTCTCTTTCTGACACTATGCTAGGTCTAATACGCCATTATAAAACTATTAATATGTTGATGGCGCACTAGTCCTCTACATGACGCAAAACACCAAAGATATTTACTTGTTACCTTTGGCCTTATTAGCTAGACATGTTATAATTTGGAAAGGAATTTGGGAATTTTTTTCTTGAATGATTCCACCAGAATTTGTTTTTCGTTTTTCTTCACATAATTCTCCAATTTTGATACAACTGACCTTGTCACTCCGTCCTTAAACCACGTGCTTTTCCTCCGCGACAAGAAATTGTGCATTTAATCGTCTGAAATAAATTGATTGGAAACGGAGTTTAAAATGATTTAATTTGATTGATTTTGTAAAGGATATTGTTTATTTATTTTCAAGTAGCCAGCGGAAAGGCAGACGAAAGGTGATTAGGTGTTAATTTGTCAGTTATGAGCGCACGAATTTTTATGACGTCAACTCTTCTGAAGCAAGCCGTCCGCCATTGTAATAAAACAGTCCAAGTAGCCGGTGGTAGTCGAAAATTCTTCAGTTCTTATTACGACGACGACAGAGACATGTCTTTCAGAGATAGAATGTTCGATTCCTCAGGAAGATCTGACAGAAAATCGTAAGTTTTTATTTATTTTATTTGAATCGGAGATTGATTACCTTATTTTATCGTGGTTGGCTTTCTTTCAACTGGGTTTTCGCTGACTGATCAATACATCCCTATCCGCCATTTTCAATTTCACTGGTCGTGAATGAAGCCTTTTATGGATTAAAATTTACGTCTTAGATTTCTGTTTTATCACTATTCCCTTTGTTAATGGTTATCAATTGATCCGTTTAATATTGATGTAGAAAAAGAATGGTTTCGTAGATTTACCCCTTTCCATTTTGGATTGAGACGGTGTGTGGGTGGGGGGCACTGGGTTCAAACAAAGGAAATAGAATTTAAATAGTTATGCTATGGTTTTTATGATGCAAGAGATTCTCAATCCAGAACTAATTATAAACAATAATCTTATTGTCCTTGAGAATTTTGAACATTTCTTTTCAGATTTGGAGGTAGAGACCGCATGGGAAATGGTCTTCCCTCAGCATTTGGCCGTCCAGATAGAGGTGGAGATAGATATGGGGGTGGGGGGTTTGATAGACGAGGTGGAAGAGGGGGTGGTATGGGTGGACGATCGGGTCAACCTGGTGAATCTCTTAGAAAACCCAAATGGGATTTAAGCCGTCTACCTAAATTTGAGAAGAATTTTTATAAAGAATGCCCAACAGTCACCAACAGATCACCAGTAAGTTATTATTTGGAATTGATAAAAGTTTATGTCTTATCTAATTAATGAGTTTCTCATTATATTCATGCTTCATTCTATTGAACCAAGATCTAAAGAGGGAAATATTATTCTGAAACAAAATAAGTTAGAACTGAAAGGAAACTTGATTTCAACTGTTAGGTTAGGCCTGTATTCATTAATAAAGTTTAAAGAAAACGAAATACAAAGGGTTTTATTCTGTATTCTAGGCAGAAATCCAGAAATTTTTAGACGAGAATCAAATTACCATCTCAGACGGCCATACTGCACCAAAACCATGTCTACGATTTGATGAATGTGGGTTCCCAGAGTACGTTTTACGTCAAATTAAACATAATCAGTGGGAAAAACCCACCATTATCCAGTCACAAGGTTGGCCTATTGCTTTATCTGGGTCAGATTTTGTTGGAATAGCCCAGACTGGATCTGGTAAAACTTTAGGGGTAAGTTTTGATGTTTTCTTCGAACATGAAATTCTTATTTCTATTCATTATAGGTGTAAAAGATCTACTGTTCAGTCCTCAAAGTACAAAGTAGATATTGAACTGTATTTGAAAGTCTACTGTTAAGGCTTATTATGTATGGCAATGTATTTTTGTCGAAGGCTAAAAGTTCAATTCTGTAAGAAGATTAACTAAAACCAGTTTTGATAGAAAGGTTGTGCTTCATTAATCTCAAGGGTCATGGCCGACTAACTCTGCAAAATTATTGAAACTTCTTGTAATTGAGGATATTTATTTATGGTTTTCATATTTTCAGTTCATCCTCCCTGCTTTAACTCACATCAGTGCTCAACCCTATCTTAACCCAGGAGATGGACCAATTGTAAGTATCTTATACGTAACTGTCAGTACATATTTATTAAGGGAATATCTTTTCATTAGAATTTTGACTTAAATTTTCTCCTGTTGATGATACAGTTAGAGTTGACCTAGTACCTAGTTGGCATCTAGCCTTCAAATGGGACAATAAACTGGACCCCATTAGTAGGTTTATGCGACTGTCAAATTCCATCATTACACTTTGCAAAGTGTTGCCTGTCTTAATTTGCCCTATCCACTGAAGAATTGTATAGATGTAAATTTGTAGATTTGTTAGGCATTCAAAGTGAAACTGCAATGTGTAGAGTAAAATACTCTATTTGATGCTCCAGGTGACTAAATAAGATGATTTATGATTTTAGTGTTTAGTGCTGGTACCTACAAGAGAGTTGGCCCAACAAGTACAAGCTGTAGCCCAAGAGTTTGGTCAGCTATCTAAAATTAAAAACTGTTGTGTTTATGGTGGAGCACCTAAAGGCCCTCAGATTAGACAGTTAGAACGAGGTAGGGTTAAAAACATTTTCCTTGTAGACCAATATATTTTGTGAGGTTTTTCAAAAGTAATGGTAATTAATGCATTTGAATTAACAAATATTTTTTCCCAGTTGTAATATTATCCTTGATTTTCCTTATTAATGTAGTTTGAACAGTAGAACACACAATTACTGAACACTGCCTGCTGAATAAAATACCTTGATTAAATATTTGATTAAATAACTTTTGTTGATTTATGTCTCTCAGTGAGAGGATTGTTCAGAAATTGAACATTCCTTTCTATTTAAAGGAAAATATCCTCATGTCATCAAAATATATCTTAATTTTTCAGGTGCTGAAATTTGTATTGCCACCCCTGGTAGATTGATAGATCTTCTAGAGTCTGGTAAAACTAATCTACAGAGAACTACGTATCTCGTACTGGACGAGGCTGATAGAATGTTAGACATGGGATTCGAACCTCAAATTAGAAAAATTTTAGAACAAGTTAGGGTGAGTGAACAAATCTATTTTAAATAAACATGACAATGCTTTAATTAGTTTTGTTACATAACCAACATTCTTTTATATGGATCACAATTTGATTGACAAGAAATCTGTCTACAAGCTGGTCCATGATAGTAGGACGTAAAACTCCATTCATTTCAATTACAACCTGGTCCATAGTCAACTAAAATTAAAACCCACGATTGCCATTTGATGAGCAAATAAGATGAAATGCCCTGACTGTGCCAGAGACTGTGCCAGAGCCTTTCAAAACAGTAATTCATTTCACAATTTGAATGTTTTTTTTTTAAAATGCCCAAAAGTGGTAATGATTTCAAGTTAGAAACTCAATTCTGAGTTCAATTTGAATCTCTTTTTCAGCCCGACCGTCAAACTCTGATGTGGAGTGCCACCTGGCCAAATGAAGTTCGTAAACTAGCAGAAGACTTCCTGAAAGATTATATTCAGATTAATATTGGAGCATTAACTCTTGCTGCCAATCATAACATTCTACAGATTATTGACGTCTGTCAGGAGTACGAGAAAGAACAAAAGTAAGTTTCTTAAATTTTTTAGCTGATTGGTTGATTTTATTTGGCACGATGTATCAGTGAATACATATATCGCGATACATATTACTGTACGCATGTATCCCTTGTTCATGTATCCCTTGTTCATGTATCCCTTGTTCATGTATCCCTTGTTCATGTATCCCTTGTTCATGTATCGAAATTTGACGATACCAGACAAACATAAATACAAAAAGATTGTTCATGTAAAAAAAAAAAAATTTTTTCAGATTAATGAAGTTATTAGATGAAATCATGCAAGAAAGAGAAAATAAAACTATAATTTTTATGGAAACTAAGAGAAAATGTGAAGATATTTCTAGAAAAATGAAAAGAGAAGGGTAAGATAGTGTTTTATTTTCTCATAACTAACTGAAGACTTCTCCATGTATTTGTCTGGTCAGGAAGTAAAGTTTAGTCAAGCTATTTGGATATTGGTAACCTAGAATTCGGAGGATTGGAAACTGCAGCACCTTATCGCCCAGCAGATGAAATTTCTACCAAGTGAGCAATTCCATTGCCAATATTGGTAATATTTCAAGTTTTGAAAAGTTTTATATAAAACTGGAATTGATTTTGTAGATGGCCGGTTCTAGCTATACATGGTGATAAATCTCAACAAGAAAGAGACTGGGTTCTTGGTGGTAAGTACTCTTATTTACCTCAATTCCTCTTATTATAATCGCACTATCCAAACAGTATGCTTTTAACCCATTCTAATGGTTGATCACTTGCCTCATGTTCTTTTGACTTGATTTTGTCTCAAATTAGACCTGTTGGAATCCGAACGCCATGTCTCATAATTTCCAGAATATTTTTCTCTGTAATTATATACATGTATCAACCACTTGTAATGAGACAATTTGATATTTTGGAATTTTTTGGTCATGGCCCTCAATGTTGTATTTTCAGAATTCAGGTCTGGTAAAACTCCTGTGATGATCGCTACAGACGTAGCTTCTCGTGGTTTAGGTAGGTAGTAATACAAGGGAAATAATCCATGTCTTATCAAAGCTGATCGAAATCATTTCCTTCATTGCGTTTCTTACATTTCAAGTCATCTACGACTTCTAATATAACAAATACAGATTTAGATCAAAATTTGGAATAACTGCTTTCCAAATTAAAACATGATTTGGTTGTAAACGTTATTCAGGATTTTGATGTTTGTTAAAAAATAAAACGCTAAGTTCGGCATGACTAACATTTAAAGGCAAGAGAGAGGGAGGAGTGATAAGCCTGTTTTAGTTTCTATTTATAGTAACAAGAGCAGATAACTCCAGTCAAATCGTAAGTAGCAAAGGTTGGCTTTCTAGGTGGCATTATTATAATTTTTATTTTAATATAATCATCAAATTATCCTTAATTTAATATTAATAAAAGTTATTTTCCCCTCAAATTTGTTTTTATTTTTCGAACTAATTTAATCTGAACATTGTGAAATGTTTGAGTATGTGCCATTTGCCACCTTTGACCTGTTACCGTTTGTTAAAACTCTCTTGAAGCGTTGATATTTCCGTTCCTCCCTCAATATGCTAATCTGGAGTCATGTCGAGTTGTCCACCAGCTCATTGTGTTGGATTATAAGTAGGTGGGACTTTGCTTCATAAAGTTTAAGACTGCTGGAAAAACTCTTAACTTGCCAAACCTAAATACAAGAACTATACACAAGCTATTCAAATATAGAGGAAAATTCAGTGTCAATGTTGGATAAAGATGATTTAAGAAAAGCCTTGAATTTCCCTAAAATAACGTCTTCCTTGAATTCAAATTCCATTTAATTTGCGAAGTAAAAAAATGCTAGGCCTATACTAGTGCTGTGACGATTAGATTTTAAAATGGCAGCCAATTAATCCCATGTCATTCCTCGACATACAAGAAGAACAGAAAAATGTTCTTGACTATTAGACCAGATTATCCAGCTTGTAGTTCCAGTAACGAAGATTATAGTGGCAAGTGCGAGAGGTCTCGGGCGGTTGGCTAAACGTGTGTGATGCAAAGTGCCTGATTACATGCACGCTCCCTGATATAATAAAAGTGGGTCTCCCTCATGGGTAATAAATTTGTTTGCAGCCTTAAGGTAAGCCTTTTATCTTTTAAGCCCATAATTCAAAACTTTTTGGGAGTGTGCATTTTCCTCTATATTTCAGATGCAGATATTGCCAATGATGCTGTCATTTCGTACGTAAACTTGCAAAAATATTTTTTGGAAAAGTTTTAAGATTTGGCAGTTCAGGGTGAAAATTAAAAATTAATCAAACTTTTGTTCTTCAGATCCAGTATTAATTTAATTCCAATTCAAAACTAATCTTTCGTTTTCTGATTTTTTTTCCCTTGGTGTTTTTCACCATTTCAAATCTAGATGTGGACGATATTAAATTTGTGATCAACTTCGACTATCCGAACTGTTCTGAAGATTATGTTCACCGAATTGGTCGTACAGCTCGATCCAACAATACTGGTACAGCTTATACATTCTTTACTGCCGGCAACGCCAAACAAGTCCACGATTTAATCAACGTTTTACAAGAGGCCAATCAGACCATCAACCCAAAATTAATCCAGCTAGCGGAATCAACGAGAGGCATGATGGGAAAAGGTAGGGGTCGCTACCAATCTTTTAACAAGTAGGTGTCGCTGTTCTCTTTTACATGTTTTTAAACCATCACCAATTCCCCTTGCACTTAAAAATTGCAAGCTTACAACACATTGTCTGGACATTGTCAAATTGTTTAAAGCTCAAATGGTCTTGCTCTGGATAATGTGGTCAATATATGTTGGTAACTGGGGCACTAAATACTTGATGAGCTTATAGATAAATGTCTAAAGTGTTGTCATATCAAAGGATTTGTTAATGTTTCTAAACTTTATGTGTAATTGAGCCATATATGGCTTCTATTTGCATCATTCTAATTTTCTGTCAAATGTCCATACATGATAGAAAATCTGAACTGTAGATGAGGTCACTAACGCAGAATTTGCGAATATTTAAGGGCCTTTACGATACTGATGTAATTATAAAATGCTTTATTCAAATGACCAATGACTGAAAATTGGTTTGATGCAAATCAGTGTCCCAAATACACAAACAGTTAAACGAAACCTCTTTACAATACCTTTAAAATCTTGCATGATGAAAGCTTGCTAATCATAGAAGGTGATGGTGCACTGGATCCAGGCCAAGTTTCTGTTGTAAATAAAACATTTATTCCAAGTGTTCCAACTTGTGAATGTTTTTGAGAAACCACCTGGCATCTACCAAAAGAGAAAGTAAGCCTACACCAGTTTGTGTTTTACTAATATTTCTTTGTTGTGTTTTTATCACTAACTTGTAGTTAAAATGTTAGAATTTAGAAGGATTTCAAGGTAGCATTGGCTACTGTGTTTTATCTTTTCTGTAGACAATTAAACCCCTGAATTCTGATATTGCTAATTGTTATTAAAGTGACTGGTACAGATCTGATAATATTCTTTGGTTCGATCTGAGCCATTCCTTCACATGACTGCTTGTTGCTTTATTATATTGTAAGAGAAGCTTATGACAGCCTTCCAACACGTCTTTAATATGAAATGTACATGTTGCTATCAAGTAAAGGTATGCTTGTCTTAAACAGTCCTTTTATTGGTCCACACTTGTAATATGGATTTCTAAATTTCCAAATTTTTTATGAATTTATTTGACTAATTTCAGGTCGCAGTCGATGGGGCGGTCGCAAGGATGGGGGCGGCAGAGACACTGGTAGATTTGGAAGTGGAGGATATGGGGGACGAGGAGGATTTGGAGGAGGTCGTGGAGGGTACAGTGGTTCTTCAGGTAATTACGGTGGATCCAGTGGAGGCAGATCTTCTGGTTTCTCTAGCGGGGGTCAATCTCGATTTAGCAGTTCCTCATCTTCCACTCGTGGATCTGGGGGTAGCTCTGGTCGGGGAAGTTCCTCTTCTAGTTCTAGTCGTGGAGCGTCTGGTGGAAGCAGTTCGTACGGAAGTCAAAATAGTTACGGAAGCAACAGAAATCAAAATGCCGCCAATTCTTACAATGGTCATCAGCAACAACAGCAACAATCCCAGCCGCAACAGCAGAATTACACCGGGTACCAACAACAATCATACCAACAAGCTTACCCACAACAGACACAGAGCTACGCACAACCCTCCGGACAAGATATGACCAATATGGCCTATATGTACAGTCAGTGGATGAGTCAGACTGCCCAAGCTGCCACCCCTAGTGCTAACCCTCCCCTACCCCCCTCATCAACAGCGTCAGCACCCCCTCCCCCACCACCCCCAGGACAGTAATCTCCACGCGTTTTAGTCAATTTTAAATTATCAAATATTGAACTGTCGACACAGAATCATTTGCTATCATATTTGAAACAGAAATTGAAGTTCATTCAAGAAAATACAATTCATGTTCTATGAGAGTCAAAATTGTAAAAGGACCAACAATATTGGTTATATTTGAAATGGTAGCTCGCTTAAATTATGTGAAAAAAAAATGTATTTGAGTCTGTAGAAGCAGCAGCTTTCAAATATTGTCAATATTGAATGTCCAGTCATTTCATTATAAGAATACACGTAGATATGAAAGTTATCTCGTGAATATTTAGTAAAGGTAACTAGGTGCGAAGTGAAAATAAATGTATCAACATTTTAGCGAAATTGTGGAGAAATTATTTTATGTCTTTTTTTTCTCATTATTTTTATGTCTTAAATGTTTTTTGTTGACGTCGAAAAGGGAATGATTTCCCCAAACATGTGCTTATTGAGAGATTTTGTGTATATTCTGTGTAGAAAAATTATTAAAAATGAAAAATATAACCTTTGTCTTTATTTGGTGTTCCAGACAGGCCCATAGATAGAGGGTTCCTAGGTCCCCCTGAAAAATTTAGATGACTTGAATCGCTATAGTTGTGCTCCCCTTAAAACAGCCATGGCCTTTGCTATGATTTCAAAGATCCTTTGCCGGAGAGTTCAACTGCCCCTTTGGGAGCCGCGGTGGCTCAGTGAGTTAGACGCTTACTCGCTAACCTGAGGGTCCAGGGTTCAATCCCGGCTTAGGTAGAGATAATACCTTTGGATTTTTCAACCTGATTCCCCCTGTCAGTGATGCAGGTAAGAAAAAGAGCAGGCTAATGCCACTGTCCTGACAAAATTGTCCTCATTGCACCCTGCATGGCGTTGTCTGTCTTCATTAGCCCACATGGTGCAGAAAAGTAGGACGTAAAACTCCATTCATTTCAACTGGCCTTTGCCGAAGACTTCAAATGTCCTCTCCTGATATGCTTTGGGTTGATGTTTCCCCTTTCCCCAAAAATTATAAAACACAATTTCAAAACAAAGTTTAATAAAATCATTTCTCCAATGACTGGTCCAATATTTCCTTGTATGTCAAACGATTTCATGCTTCTTTTGTTTATGCCCGGAACTTTCATCTAGATACCTCTGGTAAATCAGACTGTTTTCTTATCCGCATCACTGATTGACATGGCGGCCATTCTCTTAATACCCTAGTGTCCAACAGGGTTGATCCATATCACTTGTAGACTTGAGATCAAATTATAAGCCATGATGATTCCACACTACATAGCTAGCATTGTACCATTTATTCCTCTGTTTTGAGACATTTAAATGATCGTCGTACAAATCGTCGGAATGATTTTAAAACTCCCTTTTTAGGTTTGATCGTTTGAACTGAAAAAATAATTAAATCCATGGTATATGAACGATTTTAATGGGTGTCCAGTAAACGCGTTTACAAAGAATGATGACTACATTAGACCCCCGCCATCAGCATAATTTGTGAACAAAAATTAGTGAAAGAGAGATAAAAATGTTCAATTGGCATCTGATAATCAATGCTATATGCTAATCGATGCCATGTGACAATCAATGCTACATGTTAATCAATGCAACATGACAATCAATGCTACATGATAATCAATGCCACATGACAATCAATGCTAGATGACAATCAATGTTACACGATAATCAATGCTACATGATAATCAATGCTACATGACAATCAATGCTACATGATAATAAAAACTGCACAATTTGATTAGCTCTATTTACCTTCTTGATCACATTTAACCACATCTTCAGTCTGAGTGGCCTTATTTTCTTGTCGAACCATTCCACTGAACATCAAACCGGGTAATATATCACCAGTTCCTCCATGGCGAGAGTCGACATTATTCTCAAGAACATGGCGAAGATTAAATTTTATTGCAGGTACCTCATCTACAAAGATAAAGATTGGATTTATAGAAATGAAATGGAGTTTTACGGCTTGATTTTCTTTTCCCGATTGAGAAATAATGAAAACTTGCAGATCCAGTGAAGGTAAAATGAAATAAATGAACTTTTACATCCTACGTTTCTGTACCATGTGGATTAATGAAAACAAGCAATGCCATGCAGGGTGCAATGAGGGAAATTTTGCCAGGTCAGTGTCTCTTTTTCGATTTCCAACTGTCGAGGAATCTTTAACGCACCCAGCCTGTAGCACAAAGTGCCTTGGTTTATTGTCTCATCCGAACTACTAGGCGCTTCTGCCATGTCAGCCCTCTTACCTGTACTGCAATGACGGTAGACATGCTCGTGAAATATCGGAATTGTAAGTAGAATGACATTTATAAAGGGTGGCGAGTCTATTTTAATCCAACCCTTGATAAATACGCTTGACATTAGAACAGAATTCACTGACAGAAAATCCAATATCCAATTCCCTAATGCTAAAAGACATGACTTACCTTCATATTTGGAGATCTTTGACACACCAAAGAAGTTCAGGAATCTTTCAACGAATCCAGATTCAGTCTGGACATCTGTGTGAAGTGGTTTTTCGTCAAGAAACCCGAAGAACTCCTTTTCGTAGTACCTATATTCCTCCACCGTCATGGGCGCTATGGTATACTCCGGTATCTCACCAAAACAATAGGGTGGTCTTGGCATATACTTCTTTGACATCCTAGGATAGAATAGGATAGATAGATACATAGATAGATAGGATAGAATAAAATAGGATAGGATAGATAGAGAGAGAGATAGATAGATAGATAAGATAGAATAGAATAGAATAGAATAGAATAGAATAGAATAGAATAGAATAGAATACGATACGATGGAATAGAATAGGATAGGATAGGATGGAAAAGGATGGGATGGGATGGGATGGGATAGGATGGAACGGAACGGAGCGGAATAGAATAGAATAGAATAGAATATAATAGAATAGAATAGAATAGAAGGGATGTCAAGGTTTCTACGCCTTTTGATTCGAATTTCTTAGCTTTTTAGTACAATAGAAAATAGGCTCAGGTCAAGTGACCATTCAATGCATGTTAGGGGAATGGTCGGAACCGCAGGTCGACTTTCAGATTCAATTTGTTATAGAAAGATTAACACCATCAACTGATAGCTAGTAGTAGGTGACCATTGTAATTTTGCAGTCGTCGACGCGACCAGGTAGACTAAATCCATTGATCACATTCTGTCAGATTCTACTATACTCTTTGCTATCTGTCGTAAAAAAAATCCAATTGTTTAAAAATTCTGCTAGTTGCAAGGTCGATCTGAGATTCCTTTAGATCCATTTACTGTTCAAATATGAAAATTGTGCATTTTCCTTAATGTAGTTTAAGACTCATAATAAGCATAAATATTTTCAATAAATTTCAAGTTATCTTAAATTTTCAAAGTCAGTTTGCTCAATTTAAACTGATCTTTTAAACTGTGATCTTTTGATTCGTGTTGTTACAACTCGCTGTTATAATACAAACGTCCGATCAAAGCGTAGTTTTGCTATAAATTCATACAGTTTGTGTAAAATTCTCACCTTAAAATCCAGAAAATTCGTTTCTTACAAGAAATTTGCGAAATTTGAATTGATTTGGTGCATTCTGACACATGTTTTTAAGTAAAACGATAGAAATCATATTTTTGAATTTGTTAAAAAATAAAGTGGGGGCGAGAAACATTTTTCTATTTGCCAGCTCCCTCCTATACCCCTATTGGCGCCGCCACTGTCAGTATATATCGGATGATATAGTTCTTTCGTTTTTCGGGGTAAAGAAGTCCAATTTCTCCATTCTCTGGCAAATTCAAGGTTCTAGATTTAGATAAAAGCGTGAAGCGTTGCCTAATTAATATAGTT